TCCTGCTCCCCGCACCAAGTCAGTGGTGCGCTTCGTCAGCCCGGCTCGGCCCGTTCCTGCTCCCCGCACCAAGTCAGTGGTGCGCTTCGTCAGCCCGGCTCGGCCCGTTCCTGCTCCCCCGCACCAAGTCAGTGGTGCGCTTCGTCAGCCCGGCTCGGCCCGTTCCTGCTCCCCGCACCAAGTTAGTGGTGCGCTTCGTCAGCCCGGCTCGGCCCGTTCCTGCTCCCCGCACCAAGTCAGTGGTGCGCTTCGTCAGCCCGGCTCGGCCCGTTCCTGCTCCCCGCACCAAGTCTGTGGTGCGCTTCGTCAGCCCGGCTCGGCCCGTTCCTGCTCCCCGCACCAAGTCAGTGGTGCGTTTCGTCAGCCCGGTTCGGCTCACTCCTGCTCCTCACACCAAGCCAGTGGTGTGCGTTGTCAGTCCAGCATGGCCCGTGCCTGTTCTCCACACCAAGCCAGTGGTGGGCGTCGTCAGTCCGGCACGGCCCGTGCCTGTTCCACTGGTGCCTGGTTCGGCACTGGTCAGATGTTTTACGCCGGAGCTAGAGCAATCCGCTCCATCAGTGTGCAGTCCAGCTCCGGCCAGCGGGGCATGACCGGACCAGGGGTACTTTGGGGAGTTGGAGAGGGAGCGGGGATCAGGCCCGGAGCCGGATCCGCCGCCTAGGCGGAGTGCCCACCCGGTCCCTCCCCTGTGGTATTTGGTTGACGCGGTCGGAGTCCGCGCCTTTAGGGGGGGGTACTGTCACGCCCTGGCTCTGGGGACACTGTTATGTTGAGCCAGGGTGTGTAGATCAATGTGTTTTGGTTCTATGGGTGCTATTTCTATGTTGGCCAGAGTGGCTCCCAATCAGAGGCAACGAGTGTCAGGTGTTGCTGGCTGTCTCTGATTGGGAGCCATATTTATACAGTCTGTTTTTCATTTGTGTTTGTGGGATTTTGTTTCTAGTCTGTTTATGGTAGACCGTGAACTGTCACGTATCGTTTGTTGTTTTGATCGTGTCTCGTAATAAAGAGTATGTTTGCCTGCAACGCTGCGCCTTGGTCCTCATCTCTGTTAGACGAACGTGACAGTATTGGGTAACAACCAATAGCTGTGTGTTTGTGTGTGTGTGTGTGTGCGTGCGTGCGCGATTGCGTGCATGTGTATATTTCAGAACAGCGCCATCTGGGTTTTAATAGCCTTTCTCTTGTCAATGATTTAATGTATGTTGTCTTGTTCAAATGAGGCTATCTGGACGTGCTCCAGTGCTAGACAGAAAGCAGGTGTGTGTGTGTTTGTGTGTGTGTGTGCGCTACGTACGTGTGCACGCTTGTGTGTGAGAGCGAACAGATACATTAAGATTACATTTACATTTAAGATATAACACACACTCGAGTGATGATGCCATCCTGCCTGGCTGACTGGATGACTGATTGGGTTTTAAACTCGCTCTGACACTCCTTTGTTGCTGTGATATAATCACAGAGTAACCCCCTTTAAAAAAAAATCTGCATGCTAGTAATAACACATTTGATCTGTCTCTATTCCAGAATGGAAAAAAGTGATTGGTCAGATAGTGTCGATCCTAAATTGGTGCCAGTAATTATTGTTCTGTTGATAACTCTCTTACTGTGATACTTGTGCTAATCTTAAAGTACTAGGTAGTGCATATAGAGCCGGTTTCTTCAATATAGATTCAGCTTCATCCTAGACTAAAGGAGAATCTCCATTCAAAGTGCATTTTAGTCTAGGATTAGGCTTAATCTGAGTCCAGGAAACCGGCCCAAAGTACATATAGTAGTAGATGTATTACATACAGTACCTAATCTATATGATCATCTACAGTCTAAACACACTGCTTATTTATACAGTACCTAATCTATATGATCATCTACAGTCTAAACACACTGCTTATTTATACAGTACCTAATCTATATGATCATCTACAGTCTAAAACACACTGCTTATTTATACAGAACCTAATCTATATGATCATCTACAGTCTAAAACACACTGCTTATTTATACAGTACCTAATCTATATGATCATCTACAGTCTAAACACACTGCTTATTTATACAGTACCTAATCTATATGATCATCTACAGTCTAAACACACTGCTTATTTATACAGTACCTAATCTATATGATCATCTACAGTCTAAACACACTGCTTATTTATACAGTACCTAATCTATATGATCATCTACAGTCTAAACACACTGCGTATTTAGGATAATTTTTTCATTTACATGAGTTCATTACGCAATATTCAGTAATACTGTATATATACAGTACATCATGATATAAACAGGTTTATTCTGGATGTTTTAGCAAATGTACTCTCTTGTCCAGCATTTACTCTCTTGTCCATCATTGGGAAGAAATGAACTGAAGGTTTCAAGCATACTGTTGCTCTTTCTGATTTTGGTGCCAGTGTAGCAGATTTGGTGAGCTAGTTAGCTGTGAACGCTAGCAGCCATCGTGCTGTGACATCACTCCCCCTTTTATAATATAATAATATATTATAATTATAATATGCCATTTAGCAGACGCTTTTATCCAAAGCGACTTACAGTCATGCGTGCATACATTTTTTTGTGTATGGGTGGTCCCGGGGATCGAACCCACTACCTTGGCGTTACAAGCGCCGTGCTCTACCAGCTGAGCTACAGAGGACCACCCCCTGAGAGCTGAAGTCAACTGTTGGTCATGGAGTGACAGGCTTGACTCTTGGGCCCAATCCCAAACCGACCCCTAAACCCTACACCCTATGCACTTGGAGATCTCTGAGAGGATTTGACTGGTGTACGTAATATAGTAATAGCTCCATCTTGTCCTCTGATAGGCTAGGTGGAAATTTCCCAATATTACTTATACCAATCAAATTCCCTCAGATCTCCACAAGTGAATGCGGTGTAGGTTTCAGGGGTCGATTTGGGATCGGGCCTTGGTCCGTCAGTTAGGATAGTTGACTTGAGTAGCAAAGTGTTATCATACAGTGGGCCCTGGGTTTGTATCCCAGGTCAGGAGGACAGGCTCAGAGCGCCAGGACCTATTTTAGGGAAAGATGTTGACCACACTTTTAATATTGGTTATAGCAACAGAAACAGAGCGAGGCAGATGCAGAACAGCGACGGGACCAGGATTCGTACCCATGCTGGGGTTGTATATGTGCTGCAGGCGGCGTTACCCACTAGACCAGCCTCAAGCACTTATACATAATAGATATTATACATGGTGACATAACGGGCCATATCACAGACACTTTTCACAAGTATGCATAATAAGTGAACTGTTGATGTAAGAGGTTTTGTGTTGAACATACTATCCCAGGGCTGCTAACACTCCAGCACATACTCCCAAATGATCTCTCTAACTATGCAGTCAAGAATGGAACAACAGCACAGTGAGCAAAGCCATATGTTTGGCCCGTTTGATAAGTCGAATGCATTTCCAGTGATTTTTCAGGACCGAAGAAGACTTTCTAGCAAATGTTTGGGTGTTTGTGTGCTTGTGTTGTTGTGTGTACTCCTCTGTGTGTGCTTGTGTGTGCGTGTGCACGTACACATGATAGTGTGTGTGTGTGTTTGCATTTGTGCATGCATGGGTGTGTTTGTGCATGGTCATGCGTGAAAAATGACAGGCAACTCTGCATTTGAGAATGGTTGGCTAGAGAGAGGAGAGAGAGAGAGAGCGAGCGAGAAGAGGATAGAGAGAGAGAGAGGAGATGAGAGAGAATAGAGATAGAATAGAGAGAGAGAGCGCGCGAGATATCTCTCGATAGACAACTCTTTCGGCTCTCTCTCCGATCCTCTCTGCCTCTCTCTATTTCTTCACGCTCTCTCTCTCTCCTCTCTGTATCTAGAGTATTCGAGAAGAACTAGACTCCGTATGTGTTCGAGTCTGTTGGGTTGAAAAGAAAAAAAAAGACGGACATAAATCTGTGTTTATGGCATGAGTCAAATTACAAGCAAGCATGGTCTCACTATGGTCTCATTCTGGTCTCGCTATGGTCTCATTCTGGTCTCACTCTGGTCTATTTACTGTATTGACTCAGATCCAGTTGCGTCAGAGCAGTGATTGCTGTATTGACTCAGATCCAGTCACGTCAGACCAGTGATTACTGTATTTCCAGGGTCCTAGTCAATGTTCCCTCTAATTTCTTTTTCGTCACTGAGCAAATGTTTTCTTTATGATTTTAAGACAAAAATATTTTATTTACCTGACTTGCTTTTCAAAGATGTGTAGAAATGCACACATTTTGTGCTCTTGTAAGAAGTAATCACTCCCCCATTGCTGACTACAAATGATCTATAACTGGGGTCCTATAGCTCAGTTGGTAGAGCATGGCGCTTGCAGTGCCAGGGTTGTGGGATCGTTTCCCACGGTGGGCCAGTATGAAAAATGTATGCACTCACTAAAACTGTAAGTCGCTCTGGATAAGAGCGTCTGCTAAATGACTAAAATGTAAACTCACAAACTAGCAAAGGATATGAACAAATGTGCACACGTCGCTACATGTAGCTCTCACTTTGATCTCAAAACAAGCGCATGTACTCATGACCGCTCATGCTGTAAAAACAGTCCAGTTCAAAGTGAATGGCACAGATCCATATATGGCAATATTCTATTTACATATAGGCCTACTGCAGCTCTGATTGGTTATGGCACACCGGTCTGTGTAGAGTACAGGCTGAGTCATGCCTGTCAGTGCAATAGAATCCTACTCTGATGCATTCTGCCTACAACTAAATCTCTTGTATAGTTAGTTTTGCATACTAAGTTGCATTGAAAGTGGCTAATATTGCATTGATTTGATCACAATTCCCACAGTAAAGGGAAACGCTGATAGTGTTAACTAACGTGGAAACTAGAAAGTTGAGTGAAGTTCAATCTCGTGCTTCTCTGCGCTGGCTGATATTTATTCTGCGCGGCAGTCCCAGAGAGAGAACATTGGTCCTAGTCTCACCCTACTCTCACCCAGTCTCACTCTATTCACTCTCTCTCCTCCGTTAGGTATTGCCTATCTGGGAGGGGCGTGCAGCTCCAAGAGGAAGTGTGTTCTGGCCGAGGACAACGGACTCAACCTGGCCTTCACCATAGCCCACGAGCTGGGACACAAGTACGTTTGTCTGTCTAAGGGAGCACTTGTCTATCCTGAGCAAAGGAAGTGAATGGGCAAGTTTCCCCTAGGTACAGATCTAGGATCAGCTTCCCCTCCCCCAATCCTAACCTTAACCATTAGTGGGGGAAATGCAAAACTGACCCAAGACCAGCGTCTAGGGGCAACTTCACCCTCCTCAGGGGAACCAATAGGGAAGTTTAACATTGGAGGGCACCATTTCTTCAGACTCCGTCTTGATTGGATGAAAGTGTCAGCCTCTTTTTAAGTGTTTTTGTACTGGATAACTTCACAGTTTGAGGTATAATTTATCCATGGGCACTACTCTTTGTATCGCTCTATAGTTAAGATACAAATACGAGAGCAGTTTTAGAGTTTCATAAAGAGATAATTCCATGTAAATGGACCACTATTATTATAATTATTATGGATTTCTTTCCTAAGTGAAAGTGTAATTACCTAGTTTTTGACAGTAGCCATTATAGGTAGTACTGTACGGTTCTGTTCCCAGGCACTTCAGTCTTTGACTGCTTCCCAAATGGCACCCCATTCCCTATATAGTGCATTTCTTTAGACCAGAGCCCTATGGGCCCTATAGGGTATAGGCTGCCATTTGGGACACAGTCTTTCTCTGGTATAATCAGTTGCATTGTTCCTTCTTCTCTAGCCACAGAGACTTGAGTTCAGCGTCATCATTTCTTCACTCAAGACAGGATAGCACAGTGCGTGTGTGTGTGTGTGTGTGTGTGTGTGTGTGTGTGTGTGTGTGTGTGTGTGTGCGTGAGCGTGTTTGTGTGTATAGTACTCTCATAAAGCCCTCATTGATAGAGCAGTGACAGGGAGCCAACACCAAAATGCCGGAGTATATTAACGTTAGCAACAGCATTGTGGCTTTGCCAGGCCCCGAAGGATTTATCACACTTTTCATCAGGCAGTATATCTGGGCAGCCATGCTGAGGGTGCCAGGACCCCAGGTTTAATGTCTGAGAGAGGTAATGAGCTGGCATGGAGCACGCCCCACTGGTGTCCACGTACACGCACACACACACACACCCAAGCCGCATGCACAAACAGGAGACACACACACATGCACGCATACACACACGTGTAAGCATTAAACACATACAGACACAGAGACACACACAGACACACATTTTAAATACTTTATTTGAATCCACCAATCAAATTTACTAATTTACAAAAAAAGGATCTAAACATTTCAAAGGCCCCTGTATCCATGGAACTCAAAGGTACAGGAAGCACCTCCTTCTCCAAACAGCTAGGCTGCCCACGACTGCTGAAACAGAGCAGTACCTAGCCACACACACACACACCCGTACCACACAGGGTACACACACACTCACACACACACAACTACAGTCATGCATGTGCACAAAACACACACTCACACACATACACGCAAATACACTTTACCTTGACAAGGCTCCATTGTCCAGAGTGTGTGAAATGCATATTAAATAGAGAGTATTGGGTTTAAGTGCCCCACTTTGTATTTTCACATAAAATATTGTAAGCTCAGGTTGGCATGATGGCAGGGTGTGTGTGTGTGTGTGTGTGTGTGTGTGTGTGTGTGTGTGTGTGTGTGTGTGTGTGTGTGTGTGTGTGTGTGTGTGTGTGTGTGTGTGTGTGTGTGTGTGTGTGTGTGTGTGTGTGTGTGTGTGTGTGTGTGTGTGTGTGTGTGTGTGTGTGTGTGTGTGTGTGTGTGTGTGTGCTGATATCATGTTCCTGTCCTTGATACTGTTCCAATTCTTCAGTGTTGCATCTTTCCTTCCTTTCTACCTGGTAATCTGATTCAAACGACTATAGGATGTCTTATTGCACTGCACTGCTGTTCCCAATCCAGTTTTGTCTTATCAGTGACCATGCACTTAGTCAACAAACTTCAGCTAATGATTTTGGTAATGTACTACAGTGGGCTAAATCAGGGTCACACAGAGTGTTTCTTGGTAGTCTTAAACAAATCTACTTTGAAACAAAAGTATACACCTCACACACATGGTTATGGGCTTAAAAAAAGAAGACACCTGTACCATGTCAGATATAGAGTTGAAATGTATATATTTTTGAGTTTGCATCACAGAAGACTGAAATATAGCAAAAACGTTTGACATACAAACACCTGATTAAAATTAAATATAATGTTTATGAATGATGAAATTATGAAAAATATTAATAACATTCCACCCATGAGGCCACTAGAGGGCGATTTGGTCTTTGACTGCAGGAAAGGGCTACAAAAAAACACAAAACATTAAGTTTTAAAAATACTGAACTACCACTTTGATGAAGGTAGGAAGAGACTACATCAATAAGATAAACTCTCAATAACCAAGACAACAGTAAAACAAGGGTGAAAAACAGGAAACATGATTCATGTATCCCCTCTGTAGCTCAGTTGGTAGAGCATGGCGTTTGCAACGCCAGGGTTGTGGGTTCGATTCCCACGCGGGGCCAGTATGAAAATGTATGCACTCACTAACTGTAAGTCGCTCTGGATAAGAGCGTCTGCTAAATGACTAAAATGTAAATGTATGTTGGTCACGGTTGTTTTGCTTTCAAACCTTTCACATGTGATTCATTTATGAAGACATTGTTTTACAAAGACAGATCTAACCTGAGAAATTAACGTTGGAACGATTATGCCAGATGAGTATGTAAAGTGAAAATAAACCAGTGCTGTTTCAATCCCCATGGAATTAGCCATGAAATCCATCCTTTTACTGGGGTTAAGTGTGTACAATGTACTCTCCTTCCTTTCACTGTCTAGTTTGTATTCACTGTGACACAATAGCACTTCCAGACGGTCGCATCCTCACAGAGGCAGTGGATATTGATTTGCTCGTCTCTGTTACTCCTCTTCATGGAAGTGAGTGGGTGAATGTGGGGCATTTATCGCTCCTAGTGGAAATCAATGTCCAATCAACAACCCTCAAAGAACGGATTACATTTGTTGGTTGTCTGTATCACTTTGGGGCTGATTTCTGGACAAAGATGAGGCATAGACTAAAAAGAAAACCCATTGGATAATTTCAATTGAAAATGCTTTTTAGTCCAGGATTAGGTGTAATCTGTGCCCATGAAACCGCCCCTTTGAGTGTAGATGTGGTTAAAGCTGCAATATGTTACTTTTTGGGCGACCCGACAAAATTCACATAGAAATATGTGAAATATGTCATTTTGATTGAAGGCAGTGTAAGAAGTGGTAGATCTGTTCTATGTGCGCTATTTCTATGCTTCCCGTTTTATTAAGTTTCATTTTTGCGTCTTTTACTTTCGATTTTGTACACCAGCTTCAAACAGCTGAAAATACAATATTTTTGGTTATGGGAAATATATTTCACAGCGGTTTAGATGGTACAATGATTCTCTACACTATACTTGCTTGAGAATTTTGGCGGAGGATTTCTACATAGTGCACCTTTAAAACCTATGACCAATACTTTGGTAAACAGTTAGGTTTTTCATCTCCAAGACTTAATACAGTTCACTCCTGGGTCAATAGGGCATACAAACGTTTTTAAACGTTTTGCAACAGTTAACGAAAATTTGTCCAGGTAGTTCCTCCCTGTTTCCGTGCGATTTCTTCAGTTTGGTGCCTAATGAACACAACCTGATGTGTTTGCTCTCCCTGTTGTAAATGTGTGCACTAAACCAGAGCCTACAGAGATCTGGAGAAAGACCAAATGAACATATTTTGGACTGGCTAATTGAATTGCACTTCAACCCAGTTTGCAGTTCCCCAATGTATTGGGTGCTTCGGGGTAAAGTTTCCCCTAGGAACAGATCTAGGATCAGCTTCCCCTCCCCCAATCCTAACCTTAACCATTACTGGGGGAAATGCTAAAACTGACCCAGGATCAGCATCTAGAGGAAACTTCACCCTATTCTGTATCCAGCAGCAGACCATTTTGAGTAGCAGGACGGACTCAGACCAGCTGTGGTCATCTTAGTTTCAGTGTGACTGATCTCTTCTCCTCTTTTTGTTGTTGTAGTGGGCATGGAGGAATATGGCTCTCAGTATGTCATTGTATATATTTAAATTAAAGCCAGGAACAAAGGGTGTGCATTGGGAGTCCACAGTCCACTCAATGGTTTTTGTTAGTTTCTGAGGCGCTGCCGGGAGTTCAGGCCGGGTTGTTGTTTTTAGTTAGCAAAATGTAGGTCACGGCTTTAGAGGAAACACAGTCACACACACACACACACACACACACACACACACACACACACACACATATCCTTACTGTAGTATAGCAGTACACTAGAGATTCTTCCCTGTTGAAGTTTCCCTGAGGCCCTGACCTTAGCCAGTGAATATGTAACAGGTGTGTTAGGATGGGCTGCAGTTGTGTAGAGGTATTTAAACATGTTCAAAGTATGTAATAGTGTCTGTTGCAAGAGTGTATGTTGTGTGTAAAGTTATGTGTTGCAGAGATACAAAGGTGTGTGTGTGTGTGTGTAAAGTTATGTGTTGCAGAGATACAAAGGTGTGTGTGTGTGCGTGTGTGTACACTTTGTACTATACTTGTGAGTATCAAAAGTCCTCACAAGAATACTAAACCAACAAAAAAATTCAGAGAAGTGAGGTCCTCACTTGTAAAAAGTGTAAAAAGTTTCCGGTCCTCACTTGTAAAAAGTTTGAAAAAAGATTTAGGCTTAGGGTTTAGGTTTAGGGTTAGGTTTAAGAGGGTTTCTGTTTGTGCTGGTGCCAAACGTTGGGCCTATTGCAACTTTCTGTTCTGTCTGTATATAGAAGTCAGTCTGGAGAAGGTGGGAGAACATTGGGCGGGTTTTTGCCTGAGGGATCAATGATATGAAATCAAATGAAATCAAATGTTATTGGTCGCATACACATATTTAGCAGATGTTATTGCGGGTGTAGCGAAATGCTTGTGTTCTTAGCTCCAACATTGCAGTAATATCTAACAATTCACAACAATACACACAAATCTAAAAGTAAAAGAATGGAATTAAGAAATATATAAAATAATATATATATATAATAAAAGGCAGCGAGCTCAGAGGGGTCACACACGACGGATCAACAGGAAGAGGAAGACGAGGGTTGATGAAGTGCTGAAGGTAAACAAGTTAAAAAAGATTAGTAATAAAGTATGCAAGCTGTGATCAATACACTAATAGATCAATACACTAATAGATCAATACACTAATATATCAATACACTAATAGATCAATACACTAATAGATCAATACACTAATAGATCCATACACTAATATTAATTGAGTAAGTAAATAATATAATAAATCCCACCAAGGGATGAAGGGAAAATGGCTGCAGAAAGATGTGCAATGTTAAAGTGCTTAATATAAGAACATTTAATAACTATAAAAGACGAAACCAGACAGGGCAAATAAATACATCCTCCTGGTGTTGGTGGCCCCTCTGGCTCTCCTAATTAGGCCCTCACCAACCCCCACAGTCAAGGCTGTATACTATTCTTTAAGCTATAAAGATAAAGGGAGTCGCACACTCTATATATATAAACTCGCAGTAAGTTATTGGGTGAAACACCAGTGATGCCGAAACGTTGGTGTTTTACCCGATAAATTACTGGGAGTTTGTATATAGAGTGTGCGACTCTCTTTATTTTTATAGCTTACAGTTTATTCGCCATTAGTCAGCACCTCTTCACTAAATCATTTTCTCTGGGTGCGCTCATGCTTTTTGTATACTATTCTTTACCATTCAAGCCAAGTGGAGCCAAGGTCCTTTCCACCTGGATTCAGCTGCTCTTCTCTGGCCTAAGGTCCAGGAGGCTTTCGTCTCCAGACCGCTGATGTGGAGGGAGGTTGTGGGTTTGAAAGTGTTGGACCAGGTGTGTTTGTAGTGTGTTTGTTTCAGTTGTGTAGAGGTGTTGTTTGAGGCGTGTCAAGACGGTGTGGCTGGTTTCTCCTATATTAGGGTTAGGGTTAAGGTTAGGTTTTCGGGTTAAGGTTAGGGTTAGGTTTAGGGTTAGGGGTTAGGCAAAATAGGATTTTGAATGGGACTGAATTGTGTGTCCCCACAAGGTTAGTTATACAAGACTGTGTGTGTCTATGGGCATATCATGGTGTGTGTGTGTTTCCCTCTCTAGCATGGGGATGAGCCACGATGACGACCACGCTACCTGTACAGGCCACTCCCACATCATGTCTGGCGAATGGGTGAAGGGCCGTAATCCCAGCGACCTATCATGGTCCCCCTGCAGCCGTGACGACCTTGAGAAATTCCTCAGGTGAGACACACACACACACACACACACACACACACACACACACACACACACACACACTCACTCTAGGTTACTAAGTGGAGCATAGCGCTATTATGAGAGTGGAAAATGTGACTCAGTTCACTGGCCTAAAGGGTCCAGTTTTCCACTGTCAGATTGGACACATACACTGACACACGCGCATGTTCACATACACACACGCATGCACACAATCACTCACACACACTCACACACACAATCATTCATACATACACACATACACACACACACACACAATCATTCATACACACACAATCATTCATACACACACACACACACACACACACACACACAATCACTATATGTCCCTCCGCCCCACACACACACTTCCTTGAATAAATGACCTCTCGAGCCTTCCAGTCATTATTCTATAGACTTTGATAAGGTCTTTATAATCAGTCACTCACAGTGATGGAACTTACTGTGTTCCAGCACTTACCGCTGTCAGGCAGTTTAATGAAGTTGAATGGCGTCTCCTACTCAGTGCATTCATCACAACTCTATGAGATGGCATCGGCTTTTATCTATGGGCTGCTGTTACCTTGGAGCTATTATCATAGTGATGGCTTGATTTATATAGCAAACAATGGATCTGATTAACGGTGACTCTGGAGCATGGACTAGAAATTGAGTTTATTGGCTGTCCGGCGCTCTGAAATCAGTCCCTTGACATCGGACCATTATTATATATAACAGAAGTGTTCATGTTCATACTGTTAGTGCAGGGGTGGAACAAAAGCCATACTGCTGCGCTCCAGGACCAGAGTTGCCCAACCCCTTTCAGCAGACCTGGGTTGTGAAAGGTGAATGTCAAATGAAGCTTTACCCATGCACACGTTGCAGGCATCAATATAACATTTAAGGATTTCTCTTTCCAATGCCACAGTGTTATCAAAACCCCATATTCCAAGTCCAGGCACAGACAGTCTCCTTGCTGGATCCATAGTGTATGTTCCTCTGGGACTGTGTCACAAATGGCAACCTATTCCCTATATAGTGCACTACTTTTGGGGCCCATAGGGTAAAGTTGTTTAGTCTGTGTTTTCTGGATTATGTATGGTAGTGTGTGTGTGTGTGTGTTTCTGTGTGTGTGTGTGTGTGTGTGTGTGGGTGTGGGTGTGTGTGTGCGTGTGCTCTACTGGATACCTTCTCTGCTGTGTGTTCTCTATGGATCTCTAAGATAAAGTCTTACTGGCGAGTCCCAGCTTTGTGCTCTACAGAGACAGATACTGAGGACCATCATACAATACTACATTACAATGGTAACCAGGGTTTGGGTCATCATTTACTCAATGTGTAACTTGATAAACCATCCAACTACAGTTTATCACTGCTAGGACATACTGTCAACTCTGCTCTTTAAATGTCCTTTTGTGTGTGTGTGTGCGTGTGTGTGCGTGTGTGTGCGTGTGTGTGTGCATGTGTGTGTGCGTGTGTGTGTGTGTGTGTGTGCGTGCGTGCGTGCGCGCGTGTGTGTGTGCGTGTGTGTGTGTGTGAGTGTGTGTGCGTGTGTGTGTGTGTGTGTGTGTGCGTGTGACAGGTCCAAAGGCAGCAGCTGCCTGCTCCACACAGACCCCAGAAGCCGCTACCAGGTCCGGCTGCCACCCAAGCTGCCAGGCATGCACTACAGTGCAGACGAACAGTGTCAGATCCTCTTTGGAACCAACGCCACCTTCTGCAATGATATGGAGGTACACACACATGTGCGTATGCACACACACACGGATCTATTGACAGTAGCTGTGTAGTAGTCGTGTGTTTAGACCTAGTGTAGTGTGGACTCTATCAAATCAAATCAGATTTTGTTGGTCGCGTACACAGATCATGGCCATGAATTAATTAAGGTGTGCCAATGGGGTCATGATGAGCAGAGATGATTGATTGTGAAAGATATTCTCAGTCCCCTGTGATGTAATACCGTTCGTCCTCTGGGCTATTCTCCTCTTACCTGCTGTCTTCCTAATTGATTTACCAACTCACACACTCCTCTTTGATCTCTCTCTCTCTCTCTCTCTCTCTCTCTCTCTCTCTCTCCTCCTCCCTTTCTCATACCCTCTCTATCCCGGGGCGTCCTCCCGGTACTTTTAAGGGTTGCTAGGGAGACCTGGCCAAAATATCTCCCCAGATTGACAGGTGCTGACAGTCCAGTTTGGTTTCACACACCAGGTTCATATGTAGTTCATCATCACTGCTACCGCTGCAGTGATTCCTCTACATGAAATACATCACATTTCGTGTTTAGGTAGACCCCCCCCCAAACACCAATACTACAAGGTATTTTGTGAACGTAAATTCACAAATAAACATATTGTTTTTTTTTTAATTTTCAGTTTAGATTTGAATACAGTCTGGTTTCCCAAATGTTTGCTGTCCATCTCCCAGTCCACCATTCAAAGCAAAGCGGACTATAACTGTGGAGCTTCTGACCACTGTTTCCACTCAACACCGTCCCAGCCAGAGCCTGTTAAGGGGATGTAATGGCAGCTTTCACACCCTGCCAAGACGTATGTCCTGTCGTCTAGACTTCCTGATCCTACAGACACCCAGAGGACGCATACACACACACACACACACACACACACACACACACACACACACACACACACACACACACACACACACACACAGACACAATAAATGGATGTCAGAACAAAGACAGATTGTTCTACAGCAGGGGTCAAAGCAGAGAGGAGATGGAAGTGCGTCTGATCATAATGGTTTAATGGTCGCTGTGACACCTCGGGAGCTTTCACCGCCAGATTGGAAAATGTTCTTGAACATTGGGAGAGGAAGGGGTAGTGTGTGTGTGTGTGTGTGTGTGTGTGTGTGTGTGTGTGTGTGTGTGTGTGTATGTGTGTGGAGAAAGAAAGCTACATGTCTGTGAGCAATATGAGCCAACTACAGTGACATTGCTGCTACTGTACTTTCTCTAGCTTTCATTAAACATTGTAAGCTACAGTACCTTGAGTGCATCTGCTAAAAATAAGCTCAGAGTCTTGTAAACTTCATATGCACTTGAATGCAATGGTTTGTACATCAATACTACGACATGTATGACCTAGAGGAAATCGGACATTATCATACTTCAGTATTATACATATACTCAGGAAGCTATGAGTGTAGTACATCTCTAGATCTGCCTGTTGTTCCTGCTACAGTTTTATGGAAGAGGATAAATACACACTCTTCGAAAAAAAGGCGCTATCTAGAACCTTAAAGGGTTCTTCGGCTGTCCCCATAGGAGAACCCTTTGAAGAGCCCTTTTTGGTTGCAGGTAGAATCCTTTTGGTTCCAGGTATAACCCTTTTGGGCTGCATGTAGTACCTTTTCTACAGAGGGTTCTACATGGAACCCAAAAGCGTTCTCCTATGGAACCCTTTCTCTAAGAGTGCACAGACAGACATACACACAGACAGACATACAGACAGGCAGATAGACATACAGACAGACATACACACAGACAGACATACACACAGACAGACAGACAGGCAGATAGACAGACAGACAGGCAGGCAGGCAGGCAGGCAGGCAGGCAGACAGGCAGGCAGGCAGGCAGACATATAGACAGGCAGACAGGCAGGCAGACAGGCGGGCAGGCAGGCAGGCAGGCAGGCAGGCAGGCAGGCAGGCAGGCAGGCAGACAGACAGACAGACAGACAGACAGACAGACAGACAGACAGACAGACATACAGACAGGCAGACAGGCAGACAGGCAGGCAGGCAGGCAGACCTAAACACACACACACACACAAATACACACTCGTTGTCGGACTATGTTTGATGGCAGTCCAAGTGCACATCAACTCACAGTTACAAGGAGGACCCTCAGGGCTGGAAAAAGAACTGCAGGCATACTTGAACTGAAGTCATGTAACTGCATGACAAACTTCAGTATACCCTTTCTACTTTCTCTCTCTCTGTCTTCTCTGTAAAGATGCCAGAGATTCCAGGGACACAGGGTTTACTGTTATGGCCTGAATCTCTCCGCTGTTGGACTATGTCTACTCCTGTCATAAACATACTGCATGCCCTGTGTCAGATACTAAACATATGTCTTTTCTTATAAAGGCTGTTATTTAAACTATATCCGACAATCATATTTGCTCTTTTGAAAGACCAAGTGGTTGTTGTTTTGCAAGGACAGGTTTTAGTGACACAGGCTTCATTGCGGTGTGTTTTTCAGCAGTTAATGTGTGTGTTTGTGTGTGTGTGTGTGTATGTGGTTTGTGTGTGTGTGTGTGTTTCAGCACCTGATGTGCGCGGGCCTGTGGTGTTTGGTGGAAGGAGACAAATCCTGTAAGACTAAGCTGGACCCTCCTCTGGACGGCACAGAGTGTGGAGCTGACAAGGTGTGTGTGTGTGTGTGTGTGTATGTGTGTATGTGTTCAACTCTGACAAGGTGTGTGTGTGTGTGTGTGTGTATGTGTTGAACTCTGACAAGGTGTGTGTGTGTGTGTGTATGTGTTAAACTCTGACATGGTGTGTGTGTGTGTGTGTGTGTATGTGTTCAACTCTTTGTCAGCAGGGAAGGACCAGCCAAAGTCGATACAGTTTTTTGACAATGGAATTTACTTTTTGGGCATTATATGGCAATGGTCCTAGTTGGTCCTAGTTGGTCCATTACCTGTGGTATTAACTTGTGTTCCTCTCTCTCTCTCTCTCTCTCTCTCTCTCTCTCTCTCTCTCTCTCTCTCTCTCTCTCTCTCTCTCTCTCTCTCTCTCTCTCTCTCTCTCTCTCGTGTGTGTGTGTGTGTGTATCAGTGGTGCCGGGCAGGGGAGTGTGTGGGTAAGTCCCCCATCCCACAGCATGTGGATGGGGACTGGAGCATCTGGAGTCAGTGGAGCCAGTGCAGTAGGACCTGTGGCACCGGAGCTCAGTTCAGACAGAGGAAATGTGACAACCCACCGTAAGTCATCCGCTTTGTGTGTGTGGGTGTGTGCGTGTGTGTGTGTGTGTGTGTGTGTGGGTGCGTGTGTGTGTGTGTGGGTGCGTGTGTGTGTGTGTGTGTGGGTGCGTGTGTGTGTGTGTGGGTGTGTGTGTGCGTACCACGTGTCCATGTGTCTCAGTGTGTTTTAATACTGGTTGTGTCTCTAGGCCAGGTCCCGGTGGTAGTAACTGTCAGAAGGCCAGTGTGGAACATAAAGTGTGTGAAGGTCCTCCCTGCCCTAAAGGAACACCCAGCTTCAGAGAGCTGCAGTGTCTCTCCCATGACCGCCAGGCCGGCAAGAAGAAGAACAGTATATGGACCGCAGTCAATAATGATGGTAAGAGGAAGAAACGTTCTGGAGATGCAGAAGGCATGCAAACACACACACACACACAAACACATGTACATATACACACACACACGTACATGTATGCATCACACACACGCACACACACACACGTTCGTTTTACTATCCTTGTGGGGATCAAACAATTTATTCCCATTCCAAATCCTATTTTCCCTAACCGCTTACTTTAAACCTAACCCTAACCTTAACCCTTAACCTTAACCTTAACCATTAACCCTAACCTTAACCCCAAACCCCTAAACCTAACTCTAACCCCTAACCCTAATTCTAATTGTAACCCTAAACCTGTTGATCTTATCTTAGTGTACCACAATGGGTTACTGAGTACTGTATCTTTGTCATTGCTTTGGCAAACGTGTTTACTTTGCATTGCCATGACAACAATCATCTGGCTAACACAGAAACAGACTGCCACTCAGGCTGGCCCCATTGACTTCTAGCGGTTCAATATTCTTTGGCAAATAGTACATTTTCCTTGTCATTAGCGCATGCTTCCCAAATGACACCCTTTTCCCTATATAGCTCTTTGGCCCCTGGTCAAAGTTAAGCACTATAAAGGCAACAGGGTGCCATTTGGGAAGCATCCACATTTGAGTTCCCAGCAGCTTTGATTGAGTGGCAGCTAGATTGATGTCTGTTCATGTTTTTTTTCCCAGTCATCAAATTTCCTCACAGACCACTCTTGCCAAATCTGTCTGATCAAGGTCATGTGCATGCAGCGTTTTAAAACGGTTTGCAACGGAAAAGGGAAAATTTATGTTTCTCATTGGCCCAGGTAGTCCCTCCCTGTTTCAGTCCGTTTTTATTCCGTTTGGTGCCTAATGAACATGACCCTGGTGAGAACCATCCTGTACAAGAAGAGGTTATAACCACATTACACAAACCGCTGTTTACGACCCGTGTCGATATCACTCTGTGTGAGGCCTTTGATCAGTGTGTTGTTAAGATGTATTGTCAGTGGTGTAAGATTGTTACAGCTGTTTGACAAAATGTCTTCATGTGTTTATGAACTGAGGGTTCTGTTCATCCAGCAGGTGTTTATTTGAGAGCTGTAAAATGGCCTCCTTCCCTCTTTCCTCCCCCTCTTTCCCTGCCTCACTTCTTTCCCTCCCTCCCTCCCTCCCTTCTTTCCCTCCCTCCCTTCTTTCCCGCCCTCCCTCCCTTCCTCCCTCCCTCCCTACCCTCCCTCCCTCCCTCCCTCCCTCCCTCCCTTCTTTCCTTTCTCCTTCCTTCCTATCCCATCCCAGTAGGATCAGTTCAGTTCAGTTTATTTGTACACATCCTAATCTGAACTGAGATCAGCAACATTTACAGTTCAGTCAGTTCAACATTTACAGATGTGCTATCTTAATTTGACCCTGCTTCTCACAGTAGGAAAAAAATCCAGCAGCAACATGAAATGGGAATTATTATGTGGATTATAATTATTGGACATTTTTGTATACGTTTTTTTCTCATTATGGCACATCAAGTCTGACATTTTAAGGTGGAAGTTACAAACCTTAGAAGCCTTTTCAAATCTTGAATACACTACAATTTGGAAAATTCTCTGCGACAAATGAAGATAGCAGATCTGCAGTAGCGGTGCGTGGGTAAATCACCAGGGAAATCAATCCAGAAAAAAAAGCTAATGTATGAAACACAGTGAGACTAAAGATTTTTTTACAATTATGTTTGTCTTGGAAATTATTTGGGGAAAGCCTGGCTTCCCTTGGCACCCATAAATACACACCACTGCAAATCTGTAGGTATTTCAAATTCATCCCATGAAAATAGCTCTGAGGTATTTGCATCTTAGACAGTCTTCCATTTACAGTTGAAGTCGGACATTTACATACACTTAGGTTGGAGTCATTAAAACTTGTTTTTCAACAACTCCACAAATGTCTTGTTAACAAACTATAGTAATGGCATGTCGGTTAGGACATCTACTTTGTGCATGACACAAGTAATTTTTCCAACAATTGTTTACAGACAGATTATTTCACTTATAATTCACTGTATCACAATTCCAGTGGGTCAGAAGTTTACATACACTAAGTTGACTGTGCCTTTAAACAGCTTGGAAAATTCCAGAAAATGATGTCATGGCTTTAGAAGCTTCTGATAGGCTAATTGACATAATTTGAGTCAATTGGAAGTGTACCTGTGGATGTATTTCAGTGCCTCTTTGCTTGACATCATGGGAAAATGAAAAGAAATCAGCTAAGACCTCAGAAATAAAATTGTAGACCTCCACAAGTCTGGTTCATCATTGGGAGCAATTTCCAAACGCCTGAAGGTACCACGTTCATCTATACAAACAATAGTACGCACGTATAAACACCATGGGACCACGCAGCCGTCATACCGCTCAGGAAGGACACGCGTTCTGTCTCCAAGAGATGAACGTACTTTGGTGCGAAAAGTGCAATTAAATCCCAGAACAACAGCAAAGGACCTTGTGAAGATGCTGGAGGAAACAGGTACAAAAGTATCTATATCCACAGTAAAATGAGTCCTATATCGACATAACCTGAAAGGCCGCTCAGCAAGGAAGAAGCCACTGCTCCAAAACCGCCATAAAATAGCCAGACTACGGTTTGCAACTGCACATGGGGACAAAGATTGTACTTTTTGGAGAAATGTCCTCTGGTCTGATGAAACAAAAATAGAACTGTTTGGCCATAATGACCATTGTTATGTTTGGAGGAAAAAGGGGGTGGCTTGCACACCATCCCAACCGTGAAGCGCGGGGGTGGCAGCATCATACTGTGGGGGTGCTTTGCTGCAGGTGGTACTGGTGCTCTTCACAAAATAGATGGCATCATGTGGAAGGAAAATGATGTGGATATATTGAAGCAACATCTCAAGACATCAGTCAGGAAGTTCAAGCTTGGTCACAAATGGGTCTTCCAAATGGACAATGACCCCAAGCATACTTCCAAAGTTGTGGCAAAATGGCTTAAGGACAACAAAGTAAAGGTATTGGAGTGGCCATCACAAAGCCCTGACCTCAATCCTATAGAAGATCTGTGGTCAGAACTGAAAAAGCGTGTGAAAAAGCGTGTGTGAGCAAGGAGGCCTACAAACCTGACTCAGTTACACCAGCTCTGTCAGGTTGAATGGGCCAAAATTCACCAAACTTATTGTGGGAAGCTTGTGGAAGGCTACCCGAAACGTTTGACCCAAGTTAAACAATTTAAAGGCAATGCTACCAAATACTAATTGAGTTTATGTAAACTTCTGATCCACTGGGAATGTGATGAAAGAAATAAAAGCTGAAATAAATCATTCTCTCTACTATTATTGTCACGATCGTCGGGAACAGAGGACCAATGCGCAGCGTTATTTGCGAACATACTTATATTTATTAATGTTACACGAACAAAACAACAAACGATACGTGCAGTCCTACGGTACAAACACAAACCAAAACAGGAACAAGATCCCACAAATACTGTGGAAAAACAGACTGTTTAAATATGGTTCACAATCAGAGACAACCAGCAACAGCTGACACTCGTTGCCTCTGATTGAGAACCACTCTGGCCAACATAGAAACACAATAACTAGAACACCCTAGAAACACAAAACTAGAACAACACAAAGAACACTCACACCCTGGCTCAACATACAAGCGTCCCCAGAGCCAGGGCGTGACAGTACCCCCCCCCCCAAAGGCGCGGACTCCGACCGCGCCAACAGAACACCACAGGAGAGGGACCGGGTGGGCACTCCGCCTTGGCGGCGGATCCGGCTCCGGGCATGATCCCCACTCCCTCTCTAACCCCCCACAGTACCCCTGGTCCGGTCTGGCCCTGCTGGCCGGAGCTGGACTGAACACTGGTGGAGCGGATTGCTCTAGCTCCGGCGTGGAGCAGCTGACCGGTGCCGGACCAGGCACCGGTGGAACAGGCACAAGCTGTGCCGGACTGACGACGCACACCACTGGCTTGGTGTGGGGAGCAGGAACAGGCCGAGCCGGGCTGGCGACGAGCACCATTGGCTTGGTGCGGGGAGCAGGAACAGGCCGGGCCGGGCTGGCGACGCGCACCATTGGCTTGGTGCGGGGAGCAGGAACAGGCCGGGCCGGGCTGGCGACGCGCACCATAGGCTTGGTGCGGGGAGCAGGAACAGGCCGGGCCGGGCTGGCGATGCGCACCATTGGCTTGGTGCGGGGAGCAGGAACAGGCCGGGCCGGGCTGGCGACGCGCACCATAGGCTTGGTGCGGGGAGCAGGAACAGGCCGGACTGGGTTGGCGACGCGCACCACAGGCTCGGTGCGAGGGACAGGAACAGGCCGGACCGTACTGGGGACACACACCACTGGCCCTACGCGGGGATCAGGAACGGGCCGGACCGGACTGGTAACACACCCCAGTACCTCTCGCCGTGCCTCTACACTTTCCTTCCCCTTTGTGACCAGCTGCCCCTGTAACCTGGCGGCCTCCTCGGCCAACCCGCTGGACCGCTCTATTGCGGCCTCCTGCTGCTCCGTCGTCCACGGCGTGAGCCCCCCCCTAAAAAATTTCTGGGTGTCTCTCCTCCCCGTGGACCAGGCCTCCCTATCTCTCGCCAGACTCTCACCTCTCTGCTCTTCACTTGGCTTGGCCCAGTCGAGACTCTTCCTCCACTGCTCCCAAGTCCACCCTCTCTGCTCTTCACTTGGCTTGGCCCAGTCGAGACTCTTCCTCCATTGCTCCCAAGTCCACCCTCTCTGCTCTTCACTTGGCTTGACCCAGTCGAGGTTGCAACGGAGATCCGCTAGAGATTCCCCTGGCGATGGCTCCTGGACACGCTGCTTGGTCCAGTTTTGGTGGGATCTTCTGTCACGATCGTCGGGAACAGAGGACCAATGCGCAGCGTTATTTGCGAACATACTTATATTTATTAATGTTACACGAACAAAACAACAAACGATACGTGCAGTCCTACGGTACAAACACAAACCAAAACAGGAACAAGATCCCACAAATACTGTGGAAAAACAGACTGTTTAAATATGGTTCCCAATCAGAGACAACCAGCAACAGCTGACACTCGTTGCCTCTGATTGAGAACCACTCTGGCCAACATAGAAACACAATAACTAGAACACCCTAGAAACACAAAACTAGAACAACACAAAGAACACTCACACCCTGGCTCAACATACAAGCGTCCCCAGAGCCAGGGCGTGACAATTATTCTGACATTTCACATTCTTAAAATAAAAGTGGTGATCCTAACTGACCTAAGACAGGGAATTTTTACTAGGATTAAATGTCAGGAATTGTGAAAAACTGAGTTTAAATGTATTTGGCTAAGGTGTATGTAAACTTCCAACTTCAACTGTACATCTTTTCAGTTTTCACTCTGCTACATTCCCTCGCTCTCTACTAGTCTCTCTTTCTCTGTGTGTGTGTGTGTGTGTGTGTGTGTGTGTCTGTCTGTCTACCTGTCTTTCCCTCTCTCTTGCTGTCCGTCACACACGCACGCACACACACACACACACACACACACACACACACACACACACACACACACACAGACAGAGACACCAACACGCTCTCACTACCTTGGAAACTTGGAAACCTCTATCAAATAACACTTTTTAGAGCAATTGAGCCTGTGTCTCAGAAAATGAATCGAAAGAAGGAGAAAATGAAAGAGGGAGGGAGAAAATGAGAGGGGGAGGGAGAAAATGAGAGAAGGAAAGATGTTGTCCAGTTTTCACACATCATCACCACAACCTATCAGGGAAGTCAATCAGAGGATAGCTCTGTGGGGGGTTGTCAGCAAACCTTTTCCTAAACACCAGGGAAATGGTGATGGTGGACCGTAAACCTCTTCCTAAACACCAGGGAAATGGTGATGGTGGACCGTAAACCTCTTCCTAAACACCAGGGAAATGGTGATGGTGGACCGTAAACCTCTTCCTAAACACCAGGGAAACGGTGATGGTGGACCGTAAACCTCTTCCTAAACACCAGGGAAATGGTGATGGTGGACCGTAAACCTCTTCCTAAACACCAGGGAAACGGTGATGGTGGACAGCACCTCCTGGAACGGAACGTATCAAGAGTCTCAGTAGTGCTGATTTTAGGATTTGTTTTGCCTTTTAGATCACAGTGAATAAGATTACATGGACAGGGCGGACCTGATCCTAGATCAGCACTCCTACACGGAGACACTTGATACATGAGCTCCTAACGAGCTCTACTTCACAGATTTGTTGTGGGTTATTTGTTGTGGGTTATTTGTGGTGGGTTATTTGGGGAATATTATTTTAAAGGGTGACTGGTCATCCACTAAAAACGTACAGTATGTAGCAACACCACCTGCTGCAGCTAAATGATCTCACACATTTTTTAAAGAAAATGTGGCCTTTGTCCAAAAATGTCTAAAAACATCACATGTCGACGTACATGATGTAGTCTTTTTAGAGGTCAATTAGTGTACATTTGATGATTCAGACCCCTTCACTTTTCCCACATTTTGTTACGTTACAGCCTTATTCTAAAATTGATGTAAAAAAAAAAAATCCCTCATCAATCTACACATAATACCCCAGAATGACAAAGCAAAAACACGTTTTTAGATATTTTTTGCTAATTTATTACAAATAAGAAACGGAAAAATCACATTTACATAAGTATTCAGACCCTTTACATAAGTATTCAGACCCTTACTTGTTGAAGCAACTTTGGCAGCGATTACAGCCTTGAAACTTCTTGGGTATGACGCTACAAGTGTGGCACCCCTGTATTTGGGGAGTTTCTCCCATTCTTCTCTGCAGATCCTCTCAAGCTCTGTCAGGTTGGATGGGGAGTGTCACTGCACAGCTATTTTCAGGTGTCTCCAGAAATGTTTGATCGGGTTCAAGTCCGGGCTCTGGCTGAGCCACTCAAGGACATTCAGAGACTTGTCCCGAAGCCACTCCTGCGTTGTCTTGGCTGTGGGCTTAGGGTCATTGTCCTGTTGGAAGGTGAACCTTCACCCCAGTCTGAGGTCCTGAGCGCTCTGGAGCAGGTTTTCATCAAGGATCTCTCTGTACTTTGCTCTGTTCATCTTTCCCTTGATCCTGACTATTCTCCCAGTCCCTGCCGCTGAAAAACCTCCCCACAGCATGATGCTGCCACCACCATGCTTCACCGTAGGGATGGTATTGGCCAGGTGATGAACGGTGCCTGGTTTCCTCCAGATGTGATGCTTGGCATTCAGGCCAAAGACTTCAATCTTGGTTTCATCAGACCAGAGAATCTTGTTTCTCATGGTCTGAGAGTCCTTTAGGTGCCTTTTGGCAATCTCCAAGCGGGCTGTCATGTGCCTTTTACTGAGGAGTGGCTTCCGTCTGGCCACTCTACCATAAAGGCCTGAATGGTGGAGTCCTTCTGGAAGGTTCTCCCATCTCCACAGAGGAACTCTGGAGCTCTGTTAGAGTGACCATCGGATTCTTGGTCACCTCTCTGACCAAGGCCTTTCTCCCCTGATTGCTCAGTTTGGCCAGGCGGCCAGCTCTCGGAAGAGTCTTGGTGGTTACAAACCTCTTCCATTTAAGAATGATGGAGGCCACTGTGTTCTTGGGGACCTTCAATGCTGCAGACATTTTTTGGTACCCTTCCCCAGATCTGTGCCTCGACACAATCCTGTCTCGGAGCTCTACGGACAATTCCTTCGACCTCATGGCTTGGTTTTTGCTCTGATATGCACTGTCAACTGTGGGACCTTATATAGACGGGTGTGTTCCGTTCCAAATCATGTCCAATGAATTTAATTTACCACAGGTGGACTCCAATCAAGTTGTAGAAACATCTCAAGGATGATCAATGGAAACAGGATGCACGAGCTCAATTTCGAAGTCTCATAGCAGAGTGTCTGAATACTTATGTAAATAAGGTCTTTCTGTTTCTGTATCGATGGCTCGCCTCTCTAACCGCTAGGCTATTAACCCCCTGTGTGTTCTCTCTATAGAGAAGCCGTGTGCCCTGTTCTGTTCCCCCGTGGGGAGAGATGCCCCCATCCTGGTGGCAGAGAGAGTGATGGACGGAACACCCTGTGGACCCTACGAGTCGGACCTGTGTGTCAACGGCAGGTGTCAGGTACACACACAACACACACACACACACACGCAAACTCAATGCACGCAGATGCACGCTCTCACACACACAAGGCAGACTTGTGTGTTGATGAAGAAAAATAATGTGTTATGCACTTCCCACACATGAGAATCCTGGTGCTGGGCTAAAAGAATACTAAGATAAAGAAATGATAAGAAATTCCTGTAGCCATTAAGCACTGGGGAGCAGCAATATTCTGTGTCCACGCCTCTCATTTCCTTAGAAGTGCAGATGGCAATTGGCTATGAGTGGTGCAATGTTTCTGGCTGCTCCTCCTACCATTGGCCTTCCTCTACTGCCCTGCTGCACTCCCTCTGCCCTGTGACAGAATCCCTGTTAGAGAGAGATGATGGGACCTGTCAGTGTCAGCAGGTCACTGGAGAAGGTCTCTGTAGGTCACTGGAGAAAGGTTTTCTCTCTGTCGGTCACTGGAGTAGGGTTTTCTCTCTGTCGGTCCCTGGAGTTGGGTTTTCTCTCTGTCGGTCCCTGGAATTGGGTTTTCTCTCTGTCAGTCACTGGAGTAGGGTTTTCTCTCTGTCAGTCACTGGAGTAGGGTTTTCTCTCTGTCAGTCACTGGAGTTGGGTTTTCTCTCTGTCGGTCACTGGAGAAGGGTTTTCTCTTTGTGCTGGTGGATTTAATTGTGTCTTGGTTTATCTGTGTCCTGATCTCCCCCGTCTCTCTCCATCTCTCTCTTACTCCCTCTCTCTCTGTCCTGAGCTCCCTCTTGTGTTCTCACACTCTCTCCTTTTCTGTCTCTCACCCGACTCTCTCTCTCTCTCTCTCTCTCTTGCTTTCTCTCTATCTCTATCTCTCTCTCTCTCTTTCTCTCTCAGGCCTGCGAAGGCAGAGATTTAATTGTCTGGGAGGTAACTGGGGTCATAGTACCACTTCCTGTTTCTGTCAGGTTAGTTGTATTAACAGCTAAGCGCTGGGACAGCCGATAGAAGATAGACAGACATGGAGGACAGGATGTAGAGGATAGAGGAAGGGAGGGAGTTTTCAGATGAGAAGATATTGTCTAAAGAAAATAAAGTAGGTATGAGAGACAAAGGAAATAAGATGGTAATCATTATAATAAAATTGACAGATTGAAATGATAAACTAGTCTGTTAACCTGCTTTACACTGTAAGAGGGGATTCTCACCTCGTCTTGGCCATTTTCCTGTCCCATTCTTGGGATTCATAGCCACAGGCTCAGTGGTGGATAAACGTGTGTGTGTGTGTGTGTGTGTGTGTGTGTGTGTGTAGCATAGTTTCAGAAGGAGTAGCCAGCTGTTGTCAATAGATACTGGTCATCTGCTGAGCCAGCATTTGGTTCCCTACACATGGGAGACATTATGTGTCATGCTTCCCTCTACACACACACACACATACACACAAACACTCTCTCTCTTACACACACACACTCTCTCGCTCTGACTTACACACACACACACACATACAAGTCTGTGTGTCTGTGTCAATAATTGTATCCATATTTTGTATTTCCTGGATTTATCCTCTCTCTTTTCATTGGCCAGTGAGAGGGGATTTCTCCTCAGTGTTCTGGCGGCCAGCATTAACAAATAAATAAACACAGAGAGAGAGCGAGAGAGAGAGACTTTCAACTTTTTGTCATACTTTAATGAGCCATCCTCATTACACTAAAAACACCACAACCCCCCTAAAAATGCATGACGTGCCACCACTACCTCCGCACAACCACATTACACATTACAATATAATACACTGTCCAGCACCACATTACACAGTATAATACAATACACCCTCCAGCACCACATTACACAGTATAATACAATACACCGTCTAGCACCACATTACACAGTATAATACAATACACCCTCCAGCACCACATTACACATTACAATACAATACACCGTCCAGCACCACATTACACAGTATAATACAATACACCCTCCAGCACCACATTACACAGTATAATACAATACACCCTCCAGCACCACATTACACAGTATAATACAATACACCGTCCAGCACCACATTACACAGTATAATACAATACACCCTCCAGCACCACATTACACAGTATAATACAAAACACCGTCTAGCACCACATTACACAGTATAATACAAAACACCCTCCAGCACCACATTACACAGTATAATACAATACACCGTCCAGCACCACATTACACAGTATAATACAATACACCGTCCAGCACCACATTACACAGTATAATACAAAACACCCTCCAGCACCACATTACACAGTATAATACAATACACCCTTCAGCACCACATTCCAACCATACATCCAACCCCTCCTCTCCAGCCGTACAGACAGCCCCCTGAGCCCCCATACCTCCTGAAATATCTCCACACTGTTAAAATAATTGTATAATACTCAAACTCAACACTAAGGCGTGCAGACCATCCCTTTGAATAATAACACCGGGTCTGACCCGGTTACTTCTTGTTAGCCGTATGGCCAACTTGTCCTGGTCAAACAAAAAGTTCAACAGCACTTTTCAATGCTGGAATACCTTTTCACTGCTGAAATACCTTTTCCCTGCTGGAATACCTTTTCACTGCTGAAATACATTTTCCCTGCTGGAATACCTTTTCACTGCTGGAATACCTTTTCACTGCTGAAATACCTTTTCACTGCTGAAATACCTTTTCACTGCTGGAATACCTTTTCACTGCTGGAATTCCTTTTCACTGCTGGAATATCTTTTCACTGCTGGAATATCTTTTCACTGCTGGAATACCTTTTCACTGCTGAAATACCTTTTCACTGCTGAAATACCTTTTCACTGCTGGAATACCTTTTCACCGCTGGAATACCTTTTCACCGCTGAAATACCTTTTCACCGCTGAAATACCTTTTCACCGCTGGAATACCTTTTCACCGCTGGAATACCTTTTCACCGCTGAAATACCTTTTCACCGCTGAAATACCTTTTCACCGCTGAAATACCTTTTCACCGCTGAAATACCTTTTCACCGCTGGAATACCTTTTCACCGCTGAAATACCTTTTCACCGCTGAAATACCTTTTCACTGCTGAAATACCTTTTCACTGCTGGAATACCTTTTCACCGCTGAAATACCTTTTCACCGCTGAAATACCTTTTCACTGCTGAAATACCTTTTCACTGCTGGAATACCTTTTCACTGCTGGAATACCTTTTCACTGCTGGAATACCTTTTCACTGCTGAAATACCTTTTCACTGCTGGAATACCTTTTCACTGCTGAAATACCTCGGCCCCATCACAAACATACCCACAGAGAAGGCCACCCCCAACCTCACACACAGAGAGTGACACAGCAACAGTAATGACATTACCCTGGTACACACAGAAAAAAATAAAGATTGTATTTGATAATAACATAATCATATCATACTTCGATTACATTGAGACACGACCATATGTATCTCTCTTCTTTCTTTTCTTAAAAGGCAAAGTGGAAGTATTTAAGATATTGTTAAATAACAGCATATAGTGATGATGAAGTTGTACATCACACTACTGCTATTGAAACTCACCTGCTGCACACGAGTAGTGACAGAGCTGTCTTGGGCCTGGTGGCTCTTCACCTGCTGGTTCTCAGTGGAGCACTGGGAGGAAGGACACGTCCACATATTTTTTAAATTGATTTATTAATTTAATAGACGCTCTTGTCCAGAGCGACTTATAGGAGCAATAAGGGTTAAGTGCCTTGCTCAAGGCACATCGGCAGATGTTTCACCTAGTCGGCTCGGGGATTCGAACCAGCGACCTTTCGGTTACTGGCCCAACGCTCTTAACCACTAGGTTACCTGCCGCCCCATTGATGGATTGAGACGTGGAACTGTGACGCTCCAGCTGAGTACTGATGATTTTCTGAATGAGTCTCGACACCGGTGAGCTTCTGGGGGATGACAAACACCTCGTCTGGGATGAGGTAGACTCCGTCCTCCGTGGTCTGGCACTGGGAGTAGCTAAAGTTCATGACTCGTCCCATATCCATGTTCCTCAGGTTGTCCCATCCCTCACCTGGGAGCACCTCTTGGGCTAGGGCGAACAGGTTGGTGTGGCACTGCGAAATCCATTGCTGGGAGGGCTGAGTGGGTGAAGGACACACTGGTGGAGCAGAGAGAGCACTAGCAGGGTGAATGCTCTCAGAGCCATGGCTTGGTCAGATGCGACTTCTATGAGGAAAAGGTGAAGGAATATAATGCTCCTCACTTGCTCTTGTCACAATGCTGTGCAGCTGGTTTCATGTAAAGGGCAGAGCAGTTCATATGCCACATATATCAGCCGGTTCTAAATGTCAAATCTAAATGGCTTGGTCTTTTAAGCCTGACGATGACTTCCAAGTCGAAACATTGCACAGAAACACAGTGGAAGCATTCATCAGTGTGCATGTCTCTCTATTCTCTACTGATATAGGATCTTCATTTGATCACCCTGTTGCAGGATAACTTTTTGAGGTATTTGAGGTTTAAAAAGGCTTCTGAAGTTTGTGATTTCCACGTACAAATTTTAGACAAATGTATCAACCCCTACAGATATGTCCATTAATTATAATCCACATAATAATTAATATTTCCTGTTGCTGCAGGATTATTTTCCTGCTGTTGCAAACTGGCTCAAATGAAGATCCTACATCTGTATTCTATCTAAATCAATGAAGTCAAACATTGGACAGTAAAAGCAGACAATGATGCCAGACCATAATAAGTGTTTGGCCTTACATTTATGATGTAAAACTTAGCATCATTTTAAATTAACACAATCATAGTGGAGATCATTTGACTAATCAATTTAGTCATTAAAGTCATGGCAAAGCGTATAACATTGATTGTAGCAGTGTGTGTGTGTGTGTCCTAGCCGCCAGGCAGGAAGTATGTTGTCATTAGTACCCTACTGTCCAGTGGTGGAGTGTTAGGGCTGATTGCTCCAATCTATTATTTTCTCATCTTACACACACACACACACGCATGGACACACACACACACACCACACACACACACTAAAGCTAGTCTCTTTCACACACTCCCTCCTCTTCCTATCCTCTACCTTTTCCTTCTCTCAATCCGTCTATTAGTCTATTCCTTCCTCTCCTTTCTCTGTATCCTCCTCTTTCCCCCTCCTATTCCTTCCTCTCCTTTCTCTGTATCCTCCTCTTTCCCCCTCCTATTCCTTCCTCTCCTTTCTCTGTATCCTCCTCTTTCCCCCTCCTATTCCTTCCTCTCCTTTCTCTGTATCCTCCTCTTTCCCCCTCCTATTCCTTCCTCTCCTTTCTCTGTATCCTCCTCTTTCCCCCTCCTATTCCTTCCTCTCCTTTCTCTGTATCCTCCTCTTTCCCCCTCCTATTCCTTCCTCTCCTTTCTCTGTATCCTCCTCTTTCCCCCCTCCTATTCCTTCCTCTCCTTTCTCTGTATCCTCCTCTTTCCCCCCTCCCTATTCCTTCCTCTCCTTTCTCTGTATCCTCCCTCTTTCCCCCTCCTATTCCTTCCTCTCCTTTCTCTGTATCCTCCTCTTTCCCCCTCCTATTCCTTCCTCTCCTTTCTCTGTATCCTCCTCTTTCCCCCTCCCTATTCCTTCCTCTCCTTTCTCTGTATGCTCATTTTCCCCCCTCCTATTCCTTCCTCTCCTTTCTCTGTATCCTCATCTTTCTCCCTCCTATTCCTTCCTCTCATCTCTCTGTATCCTCCTCTTTCCCCCTCATATTCCTTCCTTCTTCTCCTCTACTTTTCTTTTTCTACATATTTATCATCATCTGGATGTAGGTAACAAGAGGAATGAGTCTCTCTCCACCCTCTCTGTCTCTGTCTCTGTCTTGCGCTCTGCCTCTTTCTCTCTCTCTCTCTCTCTCTCAGCTCTCTCTCTCTCTCTCTCTCTCCCCCTTTCTCTCACTCTCTCGCAGCTCTCTCTCTCCCCCCTCTCTCTCCCTCTCTCTCAGCTCTCTCTCCCCACCCCTCTCTCTCTCTCTCTGAACCTACTGACCCAGCCACATCGTCAGGCTCCCCAGTTAAACCAAAACACAGCCACACCCTGAACCTGATCACTTTCACCTGCGATAACAGAGAGAGAAACAGAGAAAGAGGAGTGATGGAGGGACACGGATAAAGAGGAGTGATAGAGAGAAACTGAGAAAGAGGAGAGCTAGAGGGAAACGGAGAAAGAGGAGAGAGAGAGGGAAACGAGAAAGAGGAGAGAGAGAGGGAAATGGAGAAGATAGAAGAGGAGGAACAGAAAAGAGGAGAGATGGAGGAACTGAGAAGAGGAAGATAGAGGAAACGAGAAGAGAGAGAGTGAGAAAACTAAGAGAGATTTAAGAGTCAACTTATGAAATCATGTTAGGGGAGTATAAAAAAAGAGATATTAGGGAACATAAATACTGGATAGTATGAACCAGAAAATGCGTATATCTAGATTAACGTAGAATATTTAGGATAAACTGAAAAGGAGTGAGAGGGAACTGATAAATAGAATGATGTAAACTTATAGACATATAATGAGCCAAGACATAAATGAGGAGTATATCTGAGTGTAACCTGGAAACATATTATAGATCTGTGTAACCCTTATATATATGGAGACATGCGGGAACTTTTAAGATAGTAGATATCATTGAAACTCTACAATAAGTAGATAGGAAACTGAACTATATAGAAATCTGAAACTGATATACTTAGTCCTAGTATTACTCTATACAATCATGATAGTATGATAAAACTGAAAGAGGACTTCACAACGGAATAATATGATGGAACATAGTTAGAATGATTTCGATGTTATGCTAACTACCTGTATGAAACTTCATATAAGAGAGATCGGGAAACTATAAAAGAGGATAAGTAGAAACCGAGAGAGCGGAGCAAACATGAGAACAAGGGAAGCAACACGGAGGAGTATGATAGAAAGACGAGAAGATTAGGAGGTAGAAGAGGGAAGTGTCGATGTTATGCTAAGCTACGCTGTATGAAATTCAGGAAAGAGGAGAGATAGCGGGAAACAGAGAAATGAGAGAGATAAGGAAACGTAGAAGAGAGATAGAGAAACAAAGAAATGAGATATAAGAGAAACTGAGAAAGAGGAGTAGAGAGATGAAGAGAAAGATTATGTGAGAGAGAGGGGAATTGTCGATGTTATGCTAAGCTATGCTGTATGAAATTCAGAAAGAGATAGCGGGAAACAGAGAAAGAGGAGAGATAGAGGGAAACGGAGAAAGAGGAGAGATAGAGGCAAACGGAGAAAGAGGAGAGATAGAGGGAAACGGAGAAAGAGGAAGGAGAGGGAAACTGAGAAAGAGGAGGGATAGAGGGAAACAGAAAGAGAGAGAGAGAAGCAGAGAAAGAGGAGAAAGGAAACGGAAAGAGAGAGAGGAAAGAAACAAGAAGGGAAGTAGAAAGGGAAACGGAGAAAGAGGAGAGATAGAGGGAAACGGAGAGAGAGAGAGAAACAGAGAAAGAGGAGAGAGAGGGAAACTGAGAAAGAGTTGGAAACTAGAAAATGAATAAGGAAACATAGTAGAAAGAGATAAGGGAAACTGTAAAAAGAGAGAGGGAACGAGAAAGGAGTGATAGTGGTGAAACTGAATAGGAGAGAAGGGGAAACTGAACCTAGTGCGGAGAGATAAGCGAGACAGAAAGAGTGAGATATAGGGGAACCGTGTAAGATTATGCTATAGATGAGAAGATTGATGTGGAAGAGGTGAATGTCGATGTTATGCTAAGCTACGCTGTATGAAATTCAGGAAAGAGGAGAGATAGCGGGAAACGGAGAAAGAGGAGAGATAGAGGCAAACGGAGAAATGAGGAAGATAAGCAAACTAGAAGAGGAATGAAGGTGAAACTGAGAAAGAGGGATATAGAAACAGAAAACAGAGATGGAAACAGAGAAATGAGAAAGTTAAACAGAGAAATAGAGAATAGAAAAGAACAGAGCATAGAGGATAGATATAGGGAAACGATAAAGATGAGTAGGAAACTGAGAATAGAAGAGATAGATAAATGTATAATAGAGTAGAAGAAAACAATAAGATATGAGAAGATGGAACAAAAGAGGAGATGATAGAAGAAACAATAATGAGAGAAGAGGATAATGAAAGAGAGAGAGATAGAATGAAACATGAGAAATAGAAAGATGAGGGAAACGTAGAAATATGAAGAGGGAAACTGAGAAAAGAGAGAAGGAAGAAGAGAAATATTAGAAACCTTATGAAAGAGGAGAATATGAGGGAAACATGAAAAGAGATAGAAAGAAAAGGAAAGGGAGTGAGTATGATTTAACTTAGAAAGAGAAGAGCAAACAGACAGAGAGATATAGATAAAAACTGAAAAGTATAGAAGGGTAAACTTGAAAAGGAGAGAGAGGGAAACGGAGAAAGAGGAGATAGAGAAAGAAACTGAGAAAGAGGAGAGAGAGAGAGAAAGATGAGGGGGGAGAGAGAGGGGAAGTGTCAATGTTATGCTAAGCTACGCTGTATGAAATTCAGGAATGCTGTGAAAACAGCGTCACAGAGAGGGGACAGAGAGAGAGGGGTGGGGAAGAGAGAGGGAGAGAGAGAGAGAATCAGAAATGTTGTGAAAACGCATTCAGTCTGGTCAGAAGAGAAGCCTAAAGGCTGCTTGGTAAGAATTGAGCTAAGGAGACCCACATGATGCTGCTGCTGCCTCACTGAATCAGCTAAATTAAATCTTGGTCCAGATTCTGTGCGTGCGCATGTGTGTGTGTGTGTGGGTCCATATGTTCGTAGTCTGTTTCAGCAAAAATTACTCTACAGAGTATTACTGACTCAGGCATTCCAGGAAACAACACACACACACACACACACACACACACACACACTCCTCACACACACACTCCACACACAATGACTGACTGTGTGTGTGTGTGTGTGTGTGTGTGTGTGTGTGTGTGTGTGTGTGTGTGTGTGTGTGTGTGTGTGTGTGTGTGTGTGTGTGTGTGTGTGTGTGTGTGTGTGTGTGTGTGTGTGTGTGTGTGTGTGTGTGAATATTGTTGTTAGTATTTTACTGTGTTTGCTGCACATACTTGGGATTGTGTAAATGGCTTTGGGTAGTTGGAGTTGTTTGTGAGAGCACGGCTGATTTAACTCTGTGGTAATTGCTGGGAAGGATTAAACAATCCCTAAACAGACAATAGGTAATGTGATGGTGAATCTAGACTAATATCACACATTATAGCTTCCCTTTCCGTTTTTTACAATGGACCAACTTGTTTCCACAGACATTTGGAGTGTTCTGGGGTCGTATTCATAAAGTTTCTTCCTTTTAGATCCTAATGAATAAGATTATACAGACAGGGGGAAACTGATCCTAGATCAGCATTCCTACTATGAATAAAGGCCCTGATTCTCCAAGTCCCTCCTCTTCCTCTGTCCTTATTGACTCGCCCTTGAAGATCTGAGAGGATTGAATAGGTGGCAATTCCCCTCTACTCTATCAAAAATACCAGATGGAGCTATTGGTATGTCTTGTACATCTATCTAATAGTTTCAAATCCATGATGAGAAGTCAATGAGGGGAGTGAGTTAGAGAGGATCAGAACAGCCTTTTCCTATTGTATTACCATTGTTTTGGAGTCAGAATACAGACCCATAGTCCGGTCAGGGTTTGTTCAGAGACGCACTTCATTAGAGTGTGGCTGCGTCCCAATAATATCTCCTACCTTCTCCTGACGTGTACTCTTGTTCACTACTTCCCACACGTCTAAAAGCATAGAGTTTCCACCATCTTTCTTAAACCAGTGAAGGGACACTTTGGTAGGAAGGAGAGATCATTGGGACGTAGCCTGTATATTCCTTGATGTTGACTTCCTGTCTACTTTCTTTTGTTAAGTTGTCTACTTACTGTCTGCAGAAAATCGGCTGTGATGGCATCATCGGCTCGTCAGCCAGGGAGGACCGCTGTGGGGTGTGTAACGGAGACGGACACTCCTGTAAGATAGTCAAGGGAGACTTCAACCACACCAAGGGCATGGGTGAGTACTGGGTTGGGGGGAAGTTATAAAGATGTATTTTTCAGTTGGGAATATAAGTCGATGCCACAAACTGGGTCTTGTTCATAATGGCACGCAGTGGAAAACGTGTTAAAACATTTTGCAACAGAAAATGAAAATGAGTGTTTAATCCCTAGTCCTTCCCTTTCGGTCTGTTTTCTTCCGGTTGGTGCCTAATGAACAGTACCCTGATGGGAACAGAAAGCAGCAATGGAAAAGGGATGGGTGTAGGTTATTAGTCCTTCTCCACTAAAAGAGAGGTCAGAATTGACAGGCAAATATGAAGAGGAAAGAAAGGGAAAGTGGTACAACTGAGTGCATTCAACTGAAAGGTGTCTTCCGCATTTAACCCATTTGGTGGACACAAGTTAGAGTTAAACATAGGAGCTACATTGGGCCGTTGGTTTTTACCTGCTACACTTGACGCATTACCTTTGGCTGGCACTAGCAGAGCGCAAGCCGTTTTAGTTCTCTGGCGCGAGCTGCGCATCAAAGTCTTGAAAATAGAGCCAGAGCGGAATTTTTACGCAGAGCAGTGTGAGCCTCTGGCGGTGCTGTGCTGCTTACACACAGGTTTCATCTAGCATAGCAGGCCAGGTTAGATGTCACAGGAGGTGTCTTTTGCCCTGTGCTTATGGGGCCGTAATGTGACATGTTACATTCTCCCTTACAGGGATACTTTGGGATTTTGGCAATGAGGCCCTTTATCTACTTCCCCAGAGTCAGATGAACTATTTGTATGTTTCTGTGTCCAGTATGAAGGAAGTTAGAGGTAATTTCGTGAGCCAATGCGAACTACCATTAGCACAATGACTAGAAGTCTATGAGTATCTGTTAGCATGCTAGATAAAGGGCCTCATTGCCTAAATCCCAAAGTATCCCTTTAAGGCAGTGGTCACCAAACTACGGCCCGCGGGCCGAATACGGCCCGTCAGCACATTTGGCCCGGCCCTCTGAACAATACCAGAGACGCTATCGGATTTTTTTCCTATTTGGCCTCCAGAAAAAAAATCCTAGGCCCGGCCCTGTCAAAGAGAGAACGGAATAATGGCGAAAAGGTTAGGTAAGAGAAAAATTGATTCAGAATGCAGGGTATTTAACCTGCAGTGGACAAACGATTATTTTTTTGTTCAATGCAAAGAAAAGGCTGTTTGTCTCATCTGTCAAGAGACGGTGGCGGTATTCAAAGAATACAATCTTCGCCGACACTATGAATCCCGTCACAAAGACAAGTACGATAGCTTGCAAGGCCAAATACGAGCAGACAAACTCTCAAAGCTAAAAAGTGGACTACTATCTCAGCAGAATACATTTGTACGCCAAGCTCAGCTGAACCAGGCATCCGTTCGGGCCAGCTTTCGGGTTGCTAAACTGATAGCAAGCAGCGGTAAGCCTTTCACTGACGGAGAGTTTGTTAAGAAATGTATGGATGCTGTCGCGGAGGAGGTGTGTCCCGAGAAGAAAGATGCATTTAATGCCGTAAGTCTGTCGGCGAGTACAATCACCAGACGCGTTGAAGAAATCGGGAGTAATGTATATGCCCAGCTGCAGCAGAAGACGAAAGAATTTGACCTTTTTTCATTAGCACTGGATGAGAGCACGGACGTGCAAGACACAGCGCAACTGCTCATTTTTATTCGTGGAGTTAGCGCAAACTTTGAGATATGCGAGGAGCTGGCAGCCCTCCAAAGTCTCAAAGGGACTACAACGGGAGAGGATATTTTTGACAAAGTGTGCCAAACCATGGAGAAGTTGGACCTGGACTGGTCAAAGCTAGCTAGCATCACGACTGACGGGGCTCCTAGCATGGTGGGCGAAACTCGCGGTCTAATAGGACGCATGAACCGGGAGTTGGAAAAAAGGGGTCTCACCGCCCCGCTAACGAGTCCACTGCCTAATTCACCAGCAAGCACTGTGCTGCAAAGTGTTGACGTGGGATTCTGTAATGAAGGTTGTGGTGTCGTGCATAAACTTCATCAGATCAAAGGGACTTAAACACAGGCAGTTCCAAGAATTCCTGTCTGAACTGGAGTCTACGCACGGAGATGTGCTGTACTACACAGAGGTCTGATGGCTGAGCCGGGGCAGAGTTTTGAGGCGTTTTTTACGAGCTGCTACCCGAAATTAACGCATTTCTTCATTTAAAAGACAAAACGGTCCCAGAGCTGATCGACCCAGAATGGAAATGGCACCTCGCATTTTTAACAGACGTGACAGAAATACTTAACAGCCTTAACTTGCAGCTACAAGGCGAGGGGAAACTCATTTGCGACATGTATTCACACATAAAAGCATTTGAGGTGAAATTAGCGCTGCTTTTGGAACAAGTGAAAAAGCGCAACTTCGTCCATCTTCCTGCTACCCAAAACCTGTCGACAGAGAACCCAGCGGTCCCGTTCCCAGCTGAAAAGTGCGTGGAAGCACTGGAAATGCTGAAGGCGGAGTTCGGTGTGCGATTCAGTGAACTACATGTTCATGCAAAAGAAATCCGTCTTTTTCAGAACCCCTTTGTTGCCGACATTGATGAAGCCCAGCCTTCATATCAGTTTGAGTTGGCTGAGTTACAGAACTGTGATGTTCTGAAAGACGCATTCAAGCCCAACAGTCTCATTGACTTCTATGCCGCCCTCCCAAACGACACATATCCAAACATCAAAAAACACGCAATGAAAATGTCCACAGTTTTTGGCAGCACGTATATCTGCGAGAAAACCTTTTCTCGCATGAAACTGCTGAAAACTCCGATGAGATCAAGATTGACAGATGAACATTTGCATCAGTGCTTGAGACTGGCTGTAACTAGAATGGAACCTGATATTCAACTTCTCACCAGCCAGATGCAGGCCCACAGTTCACACTGATGAACATACATAGGTAAGCTCACTTTTCTGACTTGAATGAGTCATTCTGAGCATAAACAAATATAATCATAATAAAATCTACTGGGATAAAATCCATCTTTACAACCATACTGGTAGTGAAATGTATTGTGCTGTGTAGGTGCTGTATCACTTAGTTCAGTTTCTCAACCTGCTTCCTTTGTGGTTTTCACAGGGAAGTTGATGAGAGAGAGCTGCAAACAGCGGTGTCTACAAGCCTACTGGAACCTACAAAAGGATTATAAGGAAGGAACACAAGAACTTTAAGAGACTGCTCATATGTGTCAGAGAGATTCTGCTCTGACAACTGAGCTGAACTTTTATCTGTTAAGATTGTGCATGGCACAACAGAAAGTTAATGTTCCATGGCTTTTTTTTCTATGAAGAACCCAGAGAGAGTTATTTAGTTATTATTTATTTCATAAATAGTGTTATTTATTTCCTGTTTTTTCTGTGAAGAACTCAGAGAGGGTTATTTAGTTATTATTTATTTCATTAATAGTGTTATTATTTGTTTCCTGACTTTTTTTCTGTAAAGAACCTGGAAAGGGTTATTTGGTTATGTGTGGCTTTCTGGAAAACAATAAATTTTTTAAGCTCCCCTACGATCGTCACACTTTTTCTGTTACAAACTGACACCGGCCCCCCATCAGAGAAGGGAAAAGTTATGTGGCCCTCACAGGAAAAAGTTTGGGGACCCCTGCTTTAAGGCATTTAACCTCTGGTGGAAAGTCACCGGGAACAATCTTAGCAAGGTGCCCTACAAACACTTAAGGGTATCTAGGGTATCTGTAGCCCACCAGTGTCACTAAACACGTAGTACACACACACACACACACACACACACACACACACACACACACACCGGTGCTTCTGTCCCCCATAGGTAAAGTTCAGTTTCACAGCCAGAGCATTATGTTTGGCATTTAAGGCCGATCGTTAGTCTGAATAGAGACCTGTTGTGTTTTAATTACAAGATAACGCCCCATTATTCCCTTTTAATGGCTTGAGGCCTGTGTGTGTGCCTGTGTGTGTAGTATGTGTGTGTGTGTGTGTGTGTGTGTGTGTGTGTGTGTGTGTGTTGACCTACTGAAAGGCATACAAAGACTCTGGGCCCTGATGTGCAGATGGTCTGATTGTAATGCCGCTCAAGGACAGAAGCTTTCTTTATTTTATTTGTATTTATTAAGGATCCCCATTAGTTCTGGCCAAGGCAGCAGCTACTCTTCCTGGGGTTTATTAAGGATCCCCATTAGTTCCTGCCAAGGCAGCAGCTACTCTTCCTGGGGTTTATTAAGGATCCCCATTAGTTCCTGCCAAGGCAGCAGCTACTCTTCCTGGGGTTTATTAAGGATCCCCATTAGTTCCTGCCAAGGCAGCAGCTACTCTTCCTGGGGTTTATTAAGGATCCCCATTAGTTCCTGCCAAGGCAGCAGCTACTCTTCCTGGGGTTTATTAAGGATCCCCATTAGTTCCTGCCAAGGCAGCAGCTACTCTTCCTGGGGTTTATTAAGGATCCCCATTAGCTCCGGCCAAGGCAGCAGCTACTCTTCCTGGGGTCCAGCAACATTAAGGCAGTTAAATACAATAAAAAACTTTACAGACAGATTTCACAACACATTAAGTGTGTGCCCTCAGGCCACTACTCTACTACCAGATACCTACAACATTATGAAAATTAATTATGGACAAAAGCAGGAATTTTCATTCAGACGTTAAGATAACATTGGTCGTTCACACACCACTCTGACGGCAGTGTGAACAAGCGTGTGTGTGTGTCTCAATGCGGAGAGAGAGAGAGAGAGAGAGAAGAGAGAGAGAGGAGGAAGGAGAGAGAGAGAGAGAGAGAGAGAGAGAGAGAGGAGAGAGGAGGTGAACGCCTTTTACCCCATTCATTCAATTTGCTAAAGCCATTCCGCCTGCCTCCCCTCTCCTCTCCCCCCAGTCTCCTCTAGCCACTGTAAGAGGGTTTCTACCTGTGTGATGGCTAAACCAAGGGCTGTCCCCAAGTGTTTCTCATGTAAGATGCCTGCTCTGCGTGTGTGCGGTGCATGTGTGTGTGTGCAGGACGTGTGTGTGCTTCCTGCCCTGACTGTAGTGTACATGTTGGTAGACGGGAGTACCAGACCTCCTTGGGTTCTCCTGGGATCAATAGCCGAAACGCAGATGGTCCACACACACGCACACACACACACTCAGTGTTCTTCACTCCTGCTCCTGGAGAGATACAGTGTACAGGCTTTAGTTCCAGCCTGATTCAAGGGCTTGATGCGTGCAGGGCTGGAACAAAATAGTGCATTTGGACAGGAGGCTGGGTGTGTTTGGAAGGATCCCAGACACACTGTGAATCCCAACAGCTCGGCATGGCTTGGCTTCCCGACCCTCCGCCTCGATGAACAGACTGGGATATCTCGTGGTACTTCCTCATCCACCTGGGTTGAGGGAGAAAAATAATATTCCATGGTGAAAACGAAAATCGTGAATCTCATATTGTTAATCCCAGGAGAGCCCAAAGGAGGATTGGTTGGGGTGCAGAGTAATGTATATAAATGAACTGTGTGTGTGTGTGTGTAATGGTGTGTAAATGTGTGTGTGTAATCCATGTGACCTCACCAGGAAAAACTCTGGGCCTTAGCGATGGGGTGTTGTTTATAACAGTGTTTCTGGGTGTGTGGTTTGTGGTGTTTTTCTTATTGACTGTGTGAAGGGGTGCTCTTGCTAGAAATTGCCCATAGGCACAGATCTAGGATCAGTTTAGATTCCCCCCAATCCTAACCTTAACCATTAGAGGGGGAGAAAGCCAAACTGACCTTTGATCAGTGTCGAGGGAAACTTCTTACTCGTTACTTGTTCTTGTGTGCTGTGTAAAGGGGTAATAGCATGGTTGTGGTAATTACAGATCCAGCCCTGTAGGGCGGCGCTACAGTGAGTACACACAGGGAGTCTGTACATAGTGGGGGTGCAGTAAAGTAGAACAAAGCAGCTCAATAGGCCTGGCCTAGGGGACTGGATTCTAATGTAAGATACATGTGCGAAACTCTGAGTTTGGTATCAATCACGCATTGATGTCAAGTTTGTTACGTGCGGATCTCAAGTTATGATTTGGCCCCTAGAGATACAGAAATAAATCAAACTCAGTCTGCTAACACTAAAAAACAAAACAAAAATAATTGGGACAATTGATTTTGGGACGATAAATATTTTGGGACAATAAAGTTTGGACTCTGAAGAATAAGCAATATGGAAGACCCACTCCTCCCCTCTTTATATATCTACAGTATGGAAGACCCACTCCTCCCCTCTTTATATATCTCTCTTTTGTTCTCTCTCTCTTTGTTCCCCCCATCTCTCTTAAGTTCTTTCTGATTTCTTTCTCTCTCTCTCTCCTCTCTCTCTCTCTCTCTCTCTCTCTCTCTCTCTCTCTCTCTCTCTCTCTCTCTCTCGCTCCTCTCTCTCCTCTCTCGTTCGCTGATGTATCTCTTTTTCTCTCTTCTCCCTCCCTCCCTCCCTCCCTCCCCCTCCGTGGGTCTTTCATATCTCGCTCCACTCTGTATATTTGGAAAACTTTGACACATTTGTGTGTAAGCCTCAGAAGTGGTCCTCTGTAGCTCAATTGGTAGAGCATGGCGCTTGTAACGCCAGGGTAGTGGGTTCGATCCCCGGGACCACCCATACGTAAAAATGTATGCACGCATGACTGTAAGTCGCTTTGGATAAAAGCGTCTGCTAAATGGCATATATTATATATTATAAGTAACAGTGGGACCACAGTAAGTCGCCCGAGGGCCTGGGAACCAATGAGCTGCTTTGTATCATCACTACTGCCCAAACACTGGTGGGTGCTTGGGTGTGTGTGTGTCTGTGATGAGGGAAGGGAAGGGCTGGCATGGGTCTAATCAGATATTTCTCTCCCAGGCGGGTTGAGGCTAGAATCCATATCATTATTTCATAGGATCTCTGTGCTAGAATCAAAGTGATGTCATAAAGCGGAAGTACTGTATATGCAGTGGGATCCTCAAAATGATTGGAACATTTTGCTCACATATACTTCCTGGTCTCTTTTATGACACCTGTTGAATTCAGAGCCATACATCTCTATGTGTGCATCCCAAATGCCACCCTATTCCCAATATAGTGCACTACTTTTGAGCAGGGCTCATTGGGCTCTAGTCACAAATATTGCACTATATAGGGAATCTGGTGACATCTGGGTCACAACCTATATATCCGTCTCTGGTTGAATCCTTCCTTTCAAACCCAGGCTCCATGTGATGCTCCAGCACACAGAGACAGAAGGTAGTGGCACTACCTCTTTCTGTCCACCAGTAGTGAGTTAGATCGCTGCTACTATGACCCTTACTACCCTAGCTGCGTCCCAAATGGTACCCTATTCCCTTCATAGTGCATTACTTTTGACCAGAGCTTAGTGCACTACTTTTGAACAGGTGTAGGGAACAGGGTGTCATTTGGGATGCAGACCGTCTCTCTTTCTACTTCCTTCACTGTCCTCCTCCCTGCCTTCACACAGAAAAAGAATTTCAGCCCTTTCCAAGTTAACAGCTTTGATAAAGAACCAGCCCAGCCCAACCCTGTCCATACTACCCCTTCCCCTCACTTCTCCTCACCGCCTGTCTCCTCTCACCCTCTCCTCACCCCAGGTGTGGGTCTGGGTGTGGCTCCACCCACCTCACTCTCTTGTATGTTGCTATAGGTTACATCGAGGCTGCTGTCATCCCTGTTGGTGCTAGGAGAATCAAAGTCGTGGAGGACAAGCCCTCACACAGCTTTCTGGGTAAGACTGACACCCACACACACACACACATACACACACACACACACACACACACACACAGATATAGGAGCACATGCAGACACATACACACACACACACACACACACACACACAGAGCCACACACACACTTACAGATCAGTGGTTCCCAAACTGTGGGGCGCACCCCCAAGGGGTGGGCGCGAGGGGTCGGCAGGGGGGGGGCACGGTGGTCAACCGAACTCAGCCCAGCTTTCAACTTACTTTTGACAGTTATAATAATAGAATGCACAAGGTGCAATTTCCAAATTGGGTCGTGCATCATCAGTTCCTCTTGTCATGTCAGTCATTGCAGACCTTAGAGAGCTATTTATAACTTGTCAGAAATGTCCAGATCAACTAGCCCATGTCAGCTAATGTTGTTTAGCTAGGTTGTTTAGCCCATAGATTTTGTTGTAATGTTTGAGTCACTCAAATATCATATGAATACACATTAGACATGGCAAAATGTATAGAATCGCAAGAAAATGAGCTTAAACACTGCAAAAATGTTCTCTGCACCCCATGACAAAATGTGTAGAATTGCAGGAAATAAGCTTTAAACTTGAAAAATTCTCTCTACGACAAACAAGAGGGGTGTGAACAGTTTGTGTCATGAACAGTGCTTGTACCCATAGAAACAGATGTGGCACGAGCGCGGGGGGGGGGGGGGTTTGTTCCTCAATGCTGGAAGGGGGGCCTGAGTGAAAAAGTTTGGGAACCCCTGTTATAGACAACTGCACAAGTTCATATTATCTGTCTAACAATGTCAACTTGTATTCCCTATAGCAGGGTACTCAACTACTATTTGAGAAGGTCCAGTGACACAAATGTCCTAGGTGGCAAAGGTCTGGATGGATATCGTCATAGTAACAAACCATGTTGTTATGTAAAATGTTTTAAAGAATACTGGTAAATACATTAAATGAGACCATTGGGCCTTGAATTATTAAATAATATATCAATTAAATAAAGTGCTTGTTTTTCTGGAGAACAAAGGAGAGTTAAAAAAAAAAAAACATCTGGATGCACAGAAAGTCACTGTTGGCCATGGAATATTCATGTATAAGTCACTGTGGGTGATGCAATATTCATGTATAAGTCACTGTGGACCTTGCCCTTGTATCAATGAGAGAAATGACACTTTCTGTCTCCTGCCAATCCTTTGAACTTTGGCACAAATGGTGTGAGAGAAACTCTGAGACACTGCTGCAGGTGTCCATTGGTGAGCCTGGAGCAGTATTTCTTTTGAATAAAGTTCATTGTGGAGAAGGCTGATTCACAGCTGTATGTGGAGCCAAACATGGCCAGGATGACTAGTGCCAGTTTCTAGAGAACAGGGACATCAGCTGCAGGCGCCATCTTTCCATATTTTCCCAGAAAGTAAGACAGGGTCACAAAGCCACATTTTCTTGCAGCTCAATCAACTCCATTTGCAGTGATGCAACATCTGCCCATCTGAAGATCTGTTTAAGCTTCCTCTGACAACTTTCTCACATTTGTGACCAAAATGGTTCTGGATGAGCAGCATCAGTTCTCTTCCAACAGTGAAGTCATCAAAGCTAACCTTGAGGTTATCCATCAGCTTCTGGATGAAATCAACATGGTTGGGAACATCTTTCTCTCCCTGCGTTTGCACCAGAAGATTGGGGAAGTGGACAAGTTCTCCCTGGAGATCATTTTTGAAAAGCTCCAATTTCTTCTGGAAAGCCCGGACTGCTGTTATCATATCACACACTGTGTTGTCCCGTCCCTGCAGCTTAACATTCACTTGATTAAGGTGTGATGTCATGTCTGTCAAAAATGCAACTGTTTCCCTCTTCTCCTCATCTTACCAAAACTCATAAAACTGAGTTGCCGTGTCACTCTTTTTCTCTCATAAGAAAGCTTTGATTTCCTCCTGAATGGCCCAAAAGCGTTCCAAAACCCTGCCTTTGCTGAGCCATCTGACGTTGTGCAGTAGTAAGTAATCAAAGCTGGCATTGGCCTCTGTCAGAAAACCTCGGAGCAGGCGGTGTTGTTGAACAGTTTCATCATCGTTGTCATGACCTCAGAATACTATTTTCCCAGACTGGCACACAGGACAGATTGATTGATGATGCAGTGGTATGATGTCAGGTCAGGGTGGTCCTCTTTCAAAAGTGCAACCAGTCCCCTCCTCTTCCTGACATGGCTGGAGCTCTATCTTTGGTGATGGAGAACACTGACTTCAGATCTATTCCCCTTTTGGTCAGCATCCCTGTGTGTCTGCTTCTAGATTTGTTAAGCCCAACTGCTCCTCCCAGAATTCCTTCTTTGTTTCATTATCGGCAGGTAGCTTAGTGGTTAAGAGCGTTGTGCCAGTAACCGAAAGGTCGCAGGTTCTAATCCCCGAGCTGACTAGGTGAAAAATCTGTCGATGTGCCCTTGAGCGAGGCACTTAACCCTAATTGCTCCTGTAAGTCGCTCTGGATAAGAGCGTCTGCTAAATGACTAAAATGTTAAATGTAATTATCAAATCTGACAAACACCAGAAGCAGGGCATGATCAGTGTTATCTGTTGAATCATCCATAGCTAATATGGTGCATTCTGAATGACCTCATCAAGTTGTGAAGTCAAATCTTCAGCTAATATTTAAGTTCTCCTCATTGCTGTGGAATCTGACAGTGGGATCTGTTTAATCCTTTCACTGAGCTCATCTTTCTGTTCATCTTCAAACAATGTGTCAGCAACTTCACACATGCATTCTTTTACCATCTCAGTGTCAGAAAACGTTTTTGGGTGTTTTCCCAAAACCGAAGCTATCCTCAGTGAACACTCCGTTGCACGTTGTTGGGCTGTCAGGGAATTGACATGGACTTTGGTGGACCTCCCATATTGTGATTTGAGTTGGTTAATCTTGTTTGTTCTCACCTCCGTGTTCAGGGGATACGTCTGATCGATATTACTATGCATGTAATGTGTCATGACGCTGAACATTGCCACTTTTCACGAGGGCTACGGACTCGCTGCATATCAGGCACATTCGTTTTGTGCTGGTTGAACAGTGGTGAAACAGTTGAACCGCGGTGAAATATTTATGTTTCTTTCTGCCTGCTTTTCCCGAGGTTCTGCAGAGGATATTTGCATTGATGTGATTGGGTAAGACACTGGCTTTTGTATTTGCATATAACCACACGATTGGATTAGACGGGGAACTAGTAGTGGTGGGGGTTGTTTGAGAGAGAGAGAGAGAGAGAGAGGTTGCTGAGTTAGAGACCGCGGCGCCCGCTTGATTTTTTAAAGTTGTCTAAAAAAGAATTGATTTACTTACATAACTAAATGCGATATTGTTCGGTCCGTATTGACGCTTCTCTGGGTCCGGACCTGGACAGCTGTCCGCCAGTTGAGTTTGACTGCCCTGTACAGTCTTCAGCCAGTGCTAAAACACTCTGCACTGTCTACCATGTATTGTTCTCTGTCGACTCTGCAAGTAACTTTAAAAGCCCATAAACACACTCATTTGTCAGCTGCTTGTAAAGTGTTTGAACACTTTGCTCTGTGGTTTCCTTTTTGAGTGTTCTGACAACAGCTATTAAATATTTTTCTAACCGTTGAGTGCTTTGTCAACACAAAGGGTACACAGGGGACTTGAGACATCGATGGCGTCCAATTCTAGTTCTGTGTGTAATGAAAGGAAAGTCCGGGATCCTTTGTAGTGATAGGAGGGAGGTGAGGGATGAAGGGAGGAGAGGAGAGGAGGAGAGGGATGGGGTAAGAGAGGAAGGGAGGTAGGGAGGGAGGGGAGGGAGGGAGGGAGGGAGGGGATTGAGGGAGGGAGGGAGGGAGGGAGAAGAGACTGAAAGGCCAGCCACTCCCTATGAACACACATCTGGTGATCTAAAGAAACACTCCAACACTACTTCCTTTTGTTCAGTGCGAGGCATGTCTCCACCACGTTTTATACGGTAAAGTTTCCCCAAGACGCTGATCTTGGGTCAGTTTAGCATTTTCCCCACTAATGGTTAAGTTTAGGATTGGGAGAGGAGAAGCTGATCCTCGATCTGTACCTAGGGGAAACTTGTGAAATACATACAGTGTGTAGAAAAAGAAAAGAGAATTTAAGTTTTTGTAGCGCTGGTAAACAACACAATGATGACCATGGAGCAGTGATGCTAATATTCTCATTTAAGTTGATTTGATGATGTGGTTAAACACATTTTGAAAGATCTGAAGTAGTTTTTTTGTATATAGTTCATATTATGCTCCTGGGCAGTTTTATAGTAAAGTGTATCAATTATTTTGAATTCCATCTAAATCTGTAAGTTGATGGACATGTAGTAAAACAAACGTGTTTAGAGAGAGAGTCCATTCACTGTGCAATGTTTATTTATTTCTCTGGAACTCTCTCTGGTCGTGGAGTCCCTTCCAAAAGACTCATTAAAACAACATTAATTTGGAAAAAACTCCATTGGCTCGAACATTCAATTCTTATGGAATGTCTTACAGTACACCCCAACACTCTCTCTCTTTCTCTCTCTCTTAATTTTCTCTCTCTATTTTCTCTCGCACTCTATCTCTCTCTTTATTTTCTCACTCTCTTTATTCTCTCTCTCTCTCTTTCTCTCTTTATTCTCTCTTTCTCTCTCTCTCTCTATCTCTTTATTCTCTCTCTCTCTCTCTCTTTCTCTCTTTATTCCTCTCTCTCTCTCTCTCTCTCTCTCTCTGTCTCTCTATCTCTTTATTTTTTCTCTCTCTCTTTATTCTCTCTCTCTCCCCCCCTCTTTCTAATGCATTATCCAACAACCTTAAGTCAAGCTCCTCTCTCTCTCTCTCCCTCTGGCCCTGTGCTCAGCTAGCTACAAAGAGACAGGGAACAGGGGATAACCGTGGACATGCGGTGAGGTAGTCTGTTTGCTGGACTTCACAACCTCCACAGTCTCCACATCAAGGGACACTCTCTTAGTTGGAACCGACTGGGTCTCTGATGCTGTGCTGCTTTCCTGTGGTTCAGGCACTGCGAGAAGTAAAACCCCACTGACCGGGGTCGGCTATTTTCAAACATGCCGATTTGGGCTCCAAAAGTATTTTTCAGAGAAGTCTGCCTGCCACATTTTAATTGTTTGTTTACTTTCTTGTACATTTACAGTTCGAGCGCACAATGCTATAAAGGTCGACATCTTGGTGGAGACTGTGGTATGCTTACGTTCAATGGAAGTGATAAGGGCAAGTGATAGGGAACCATCTAACATCAGGTTGTAACATCCTCTTAAATGAATTCTACTTACTGGTTGTTCCAGCAATGAAAGACTCTACCATGAGGTCCATCAACAGTGATTGGAAGATCGAGCTTCCTGGAGAGTTCCAGCTGGCCGGCACCACAGTGCGCTACGTCCGGAGAGGACTCTGGGAGAAAATGTCTGCCAAGGGACCCACCAAGACCCCGCTGTACCTCATGGTAAAACTATCATATAGAGAGAGAGGGTGTGTGTGCGTTGGGGGGTTGTGTGTGTCTGCAGGAGGTGTGAGTGTGTGTATTTGTGTGTGTATGTGTATCTGCCTTCCTACCATGCAAATGCATGTTGAGCTGATGCCAAGCAAGGAAACACACCCACCAGCAGCTATTACCTCCCACAGTCTACTCCACATGACAGAGAGATCACAGGGGGACAGAGAGAGAGAGCATGGAAATTGGGCTTCAAAGGGAGGAAGTTGGTGTTAAGTTGTTTAGATGGCCCTCTGGAGGCATCATGTGGTACAGATGTAGTATCTTAATTTGAGCCAGTTTGCTACAGCAGGGAAATAATCCTGCAGCAACAGGAAATGTGAGTTATTATGTGGATTATATTACATTTTTGTAGGGATTGATATATTTTCTGTAAGGGAAAATCAAGTCTGAAATTTCAAAGTGGAAATTACAAACTTTAGAAGCCTTTTTAAACCTAAAATACACTACACGTTTTACATTTCCTGATCAAATTAAGATCATACCACAGGAGGTTGGTGGCACCTTAATTGGGGAGGACGGGCTTGTGGTAATGGCTGGAGCGGAATAGGTGGAATGGTATCAAATACATCAAACACATGGTTTGATGCCATTCCATTATTATGAGCCATCCTCCCCTCAGCAGCCTCCACTGGATCATACATCTGTACATCACTGGCAGGGATTATAGGGAATGAATGAATGCTCCCTCTCTATTTATCTCTTCTCTCTCTCTCTCTCTCTCTCTCTCTCTCTCTCTCTCTCTCTCTCTCTCTCTCTCTCTCTCTCTCTCTCTCTCTTTCCTTTACAAAGTATTTCAGGATGTGTGGGAGCTTGGGGGAGGCTGTATGTTCTGCTAGAGAGAGCAGGTTAAATGTACATTTGTAATGTGGATCTGGATTGTGTATTGTACTGTTATTTTTAGGAGGGGGGGGGGGCTTTGAAGTTAGTGAGGATGACTCATTAAAGAAAAAATTGTTGAAGTCTCTTTCCTTCTCTCTCTCTCTTTCCTCGACATCTCTCCTCACTCACTCACTCTGTGTCTCTGAGCATGACCCAGTCTCTCAACCCATCTCTATGGTATACACTATCAGGACACTGTGTCTGAACATAACAAGCCAGTGTTTCTAAAAGTAACTTCCTCTCCCCTAGGTGCTGTTGTTCCATGACCAGACCTACGGCATACACTATGAGTACACAGTGTCTCTGAACGTAACTGAACGTGATAATGTCAGTGAGGAGCAGAGAGCACCAGAGCACCTCTACCTTTGGACACACAGATCCTGGCAAGACTGCAACGTACAGTGTGGAGGAGGTAAGACACACACACTGACACACATCCCAAGGAGAGTCTTTCCAGGGTTTCTGATAGCCGTGGGCTCCATGCATAGTGACTCTGAGTCTATTCTAGCTCCTCCCCCTCCCACCCCCTCCAGTTCCCCCCACCTCCCTTCAGTTCCCCCCCACCCCCTTCAGTTACTCCACCCCCCCTTCAGTTCCCCCCCACCCCCTTTCAGTTCCCCCCACCCCCCTTCAGTCCCCTTCCCTAGCTGCTGCTGCTGTCCAGTGGGGTTACATGTTAGATATGGGTCTCTAATCTTGACTGTGGAGCGTCACGTCTGTGCCCCATGCTTATGCACTAATCTGGGGCTGGTTGCCCAGTGCAGAGAGTCCGCCAGGACCAGGGCTCCACATCAAACATCAAACACAGCCCGGCTGGCTGGCTGCCTGGGGCAACGAGGGATAGGGGAGAGGGCAGATGGGCTGTTGTTCTTACACACTCACACGAGAAAACACACAGACAAACTGTTGAGACTAGTGAGGTTGGGTTAGTGGGTTACACCTGGGTGGTGATGATGGAGCCATTTGGCTGGGGCTGAGGTAGAGGGTTGGGGCTTGGAGGCAGGGGTTAGAGGCTGTGTCGGAGGGTTAGATGGACAGACTGTTGGGGCTGAGGTAGAGGGTTGGGGCTTGGAGGCAGGGGTTAGAGGCTGTGTCGGAGGTTAGATGGACAGACTGTTGGGGCTGAGGTAGAGGGTTGGGGCTTGGAGGCAGGGGTTAGAGGCTGTGTCAGAGGGTTAGATGGACAGACTGTTGGGGCTGAGGTAGAGGGTTGGGGCTTGGAGGCAGGGGTTTAGAGGCTGTGTCGAGGGTTAGATGGACAGACTGTTGGGGCTGAGGTAGAGGTTGGGGCATGGAGGCAGGGTTTAGTAGGCTGTGTCGGGTTAGATGGACAGACTTGGCTAGGCCTGAGTTAGAGGTTGGGGCTTGGAGCAGGGTTAGAGGCTGTGTCGGAGGGTTAGATGGGCAGACTGTTGGGGCTGAGGTAGAGGGTTGGGGCTTGGAGGCAGGGGTTAGAGGCTGTGTCGGAGGGTTAGATGGACAGACTGTTGGGGCTGAGGTAGAGGGTTGGGGCTTGGAGGCAGGGGTTAGAGGCTGTGTCAGAGGGTTAGATGGACAGATTGTTGGGGCTGAGGTAGAGGGTTGGGGCTTGGAGGCAGGGGTTAGAGGCTGTGTCGGAGGGTTAGATGGACAGACTGTTGAGCCTGGGGGGGTGGAGACAAAAAGGCCCAGTGTTGGCCAACTTCTGACCTCTGATCTAGAGCACACCAGACAGGTAGAGCAGGCTCCCACTGTGGGACTCTCAACAGGGTTCACACGAACATACACGCAAACAAAGGCACTCAAACACGTGCATGTACACGCGCACACTCATGCACGCACACACACAGTGGACAGCACACTGCATACATACAGTACATATCTCTTGTTTCGCCTATTCAATTGTGGTCCTCTGTAGCTCAACTGGTAGAGCACGGCGCTTGTAACGCCAAGGTAGTGGGTTCGATCCCCGGGACCACCCATACACAAAAATGTATGCACGCATGACTGTAAGTCGCTTTGGATAAAAGCGTCTGCTAAATGGCATATTATTATTATTATTAATTCTCAGTTCATTGCTGAGAATGCAAGTATCTAGAGCTGATTCTGGTGATATTAAAAATAAACATTGAGAAAAACATTTTTTTTTTATTAACTCAGAGCAACGTATTTTGCCATCATCTAGCAGTAGATGTGAAGTGAATGGATAGGTGGCTAGTTTCTGTCGTTTTAACCCTTAGGTGTAGATTACCTTTACTATAAATTCAACTGATGCATCTCAACCAGCTAAAAAAATGATGGCAAAAATAAGTAAAAGTATCAGTAGTTTGTACTGCAATTTGCTTTGCACTCATCTCCACACTATTACATAAATTAGCTGATTTTTTTTAAAGGTTGATTACTTTGTTAAAATCTTTAGTTCTGGACTATAGTAAATCCATCCAATTATGAACTGAAGTAACGCTCGAAGCAAGTCTGGTCTTAATTAGAGTGAAAACAGCACCATGACATCAGCGGTTTGATCACTATCCAGTGACTGATTAGCTATAATGCATTGTTCAGTCTGAATCATCGGTAACATGTCATTTTGCTGTGATAGGAGTTTCAACCTCTGCTGATGAGAGGGTGTGTGCTTGTTTAGGTCTCCACTTTCCTTTGTTTGTCCGTTCACTCATTTGGAGTGCTTTAACAATGTCAAGGGTAAAGGAGAGGAGGAGATGGGGGTGAGACGGTGCCTGGCTGAGTGAAGTCCTCATTCGGAAAAGCTTTAGCATCACAGCGCTAGCCAGCAGCTAGCCTTTAGCTTGTTTTAGCCAGTAAGTGGTTAGTTTGTTGTAACCAGCTAGCGGTTAGCTTATTGTAGCGCTAGCGGTTAGTTTGATGTAGCCAGCTAACTGTTAGGTTGTTGTAGCCAGCTAGTGGTGAGCTTGTTGTAGCCATCTATCGGTTAGTTTGTTGTAACCAGCTAGCGGTTAGCTTGTTGTAGCCATCTATCGGTTAGTTTGTTGTAGCCAGCTAGCGGTTAGTTTATTGTAGCCAGCTAGCGGTTAGTTTGTTGTAGCCAGCTAGCGGTTAATTTGTTGTAGCCAGCTAGTGGTGAGTTTGTTGTAGCCAGCCAGCTGTCTGATGATCTAAAGGGTTTTTCTTTTGGTTCAGTAAGAGTTACAGAGTCTAAGTAAGACCAAATGTAGTGAAAGCGGGTGACATGATATGAACCAGAGACCTTGTGTTGTGAATCTTAAAGGCCCAGTGCAGTCAAAATTAAGTTTTTCCTGTGTTTTGTATCATATTGTACAACAGCTGATGAACTAACACTGTAAACGTGTGACCAAGTTTGATCAGTGTTATTTCCTGAAAGTTGCTGGTTGAAAATACAATCTACACAGGACCTTCTAATCAGCCGGGTTTGCATGGGTGGGGTTTCGGTTAAATTAGTTAATAGATCAATAATAAAGAGAGTTCCAAACCTCTCTGCCTATAACAGCTACTTTTCAGATTTCCCCTCCCCACTCAGACCACTCCCAGACAATCCTAGCAAAATTATTTTTTGGTAAAAAGCTAGTTTTGTTTCTTTTTGACCATTTTAATGGAAAACTATTACAGATATATACTTAATTGTTACCCAGAAATGATTTGATATTAATATAAAAACAGCTGCATTCGGACTTTAACATTGAACAGTTCCAGCCAAGAGGTACGTGCATCGGTTTTGAGCTAATATACATGGTCGTTACTGAATATTAGTTGAATATTTCTAATGCCACAATTTCTAATTCAGACAAAAGTCTTACAGAAGAGTGAAAATGGTCTGTAGCCTGTGCTCTGTGTATGGTTCACTGAATGGTCCTGTGGGGTCACTGTGGGGTCACTATGGGGTCCAGTACTGTAAGTTGCTTTTGATAAACGCGCCTGCGATATTGCATATATCAGGGGTCGGCAACAGGCCTGCAAGTGTTTTTTCCCAAGTATTCCCACAAATAAAAAAAGAGACAGTATGTGATCGTGTCTCAATGTAATCAAGGTATGAAATGAATGTTATCTTTTAAATACAATCTCTTTTTGTGCTTAGTTGTCATCAATTTGCAGTGTACAAATGACTAGAATTATGTTATTGCCCCCCGACAATCCGCTCCGTTAACCGTCAAGGAGCCTGTACACAGCGTTCAGAAAACGTTTCCCATCACAGGATTTGCACCCGATATTCCCAAGATGTCCCGGAACTTCCTACGACTTTTGGGACGACGTAGGAACATGAAACCTGTGACATAAATCGTGTAGTAGGAAGCTAGATTTAGTCATTTTTGAGCCATATAGTAAAAACCCATGAGCACTTAACGCAATATAACACAAACACCCTAGTCCTTATATACTGTAGTGCACTTAACACAATATAACACAAACACCCTAGTCCTTATATAGTACACTACTTCTGGCCAGAGGGAGGGAGGAAGGATGGATTTTCATAAAGTTGGAACAAAGCCCAGATCTCGAGCCCTGCACAAACACGCGTATGCACGTATACACACACACACACACGCATGCACGTATACACACACACACACACACACACACACACACACACGCACACAGTAGTCGGGCCCTTACCCAGCAAGTGGTGGTTTGGATAGGGGCCAGCTCAGCTCCAAATATAGGTCTTTAGTCCTCTGAGTTAGTGTTAATTAACTGAGTTTTATTGTGTAATTGCCTTCGCATTAGACCAGGCTATGATGTAGTTCATTGGAGGGTTATGCCGGTTGAGACAGAGGCTTGAACTGGGGGCTTTTATTGAATCCATGTGTTTTGTGTGTGTAAAACAGTTTTCATGTTTTTTGAGAAAGCATCTCTCTCTCTCTCGCTTCTTGTCACTCTCTTTCACTGTAATTTGTTTGTGTTTGTATACCCCATATTATAAGCGTGTGTTTGTGCATGTTTGTGTGTGTGTTTCCAGGTGAGAGGAGGACAGTGGTGTCCTGTATGAGGCTGGTCAATAAGAGCATGACTCTGGTGAATGACAGCCTCTGCCACCCAGAGAACAGGCCGTTACCCCAAGTACGACGCTGCAACTCACACCCCTGCCAGTACAGGTGAGACACAAACACATACACACACCACTTATAATCATGGGTATACACACACACACACACACGCGTACACACACTGCATCAGGAATAGTTGAATGAGAAACAGGAGGATGAAAATATTGCATCATGCTGTTTCTGAGTGATTTATAGAAAAACAGCTCCATTGAGTTCAATTGGCTATAGAAGGAGGATCCAGAATACATGTGCAGTTGAGTGCCTGTCAGCATGCATGTATAGTGTGATTGTTTCATGTCCTACTCAGGCAGAGTTTTACATTAGAGGAACGTGCAGCAGGGAATGTTTCTGAGCTGTACTGCTGATGCAATTAAACCAGTCCACTGATCTCTCTGTTCAAAGAAACTGGGCTGTATCTCAAACTGGCACCCTATTCCCTATATAGTGCACTACTTCCATAGGGCTCTGGTTAAAATTAGTGCACTATATAGGGAGTAGGGTGCGAGATGGACGTGGGTTAAAGTGCCTTATTACCTTATCCACATAAAGGCAGAGTGCTGTCTGGCCTATTGAACCGGCCTCCCACTGACTCCCACTAATATACTTGTATATCACTCAAACTTCTGGCTAGAGACTTTATAGTGACCCTGATAGTGGTCTATGACATATGGCAGTGGTTTTCAAACCTCTCCATGGGGATCCCCAGACATTTCACAATTTTGTTGTCGCTCTGAACTAGCTCACCTGATTCACCGAAACATGGGCTTGATAATTTGTACAAACAACATTTAGGGGGTATATCAGCTATACATATACATATACAAGGTCTAACAAAGTCTTGTGCTCGACATCCTGGAGAGCTCATTGGTCTTGGCCATGGTGGAGAGTTCAACTATGATTGATGATCTGTGGGACAGGTTCGGTTTCATACAGGTAACAAACTGAGATTAGAGGCACAATCCCTTTATGGATGTGCTCACTCTAAGCTTTGACCTGTTAAAAGACACAATGGGAGCACAGAAACTTTCTGATTGAGAGGGGTCAATACTTATTTCCCTCATTAAAATTCAAATCAATTTATAACATTTTTGACATGCGTTTTTCTGGATTTTTTTGTTGTTATTCTGTCTCTCACTGTTCAAATAAACCTACCATTAAAATTATTGACTGATCATTTCTTTGTCAGTGGGCAAACGTACAAAATCAGCAGGGGATCAAATACTTTTTTCCCTCACTGTACATATCCTTTAAAAAAATATATTTTCCTTTATTACTTTCCAACCCCACCACCCCTCCCCTAATTGGAGTAAAATAGTGAACAACAACACTTAGGCCTCTACTTCCAGCTTATACATACTTTATACATTTTATGGACACAGTCAATTTTACAATTATTCTATTTTGTTTGTTTTTACTCCTGAACCACCTCTATCCTCAACCTGTTCGATCATTTTCATGATGTCCATCCGGTTTGCTTCTATATGCCATATCTTTCAAACTGTGCTCTTTCACAAAAGTTCTCAACCTGTAACCTATCAAGGCCAGGTCAAAAGTAGTGCACTATACTGTATAGGGAATAGGGTGCCATTTGGGACGTAGCCAAAGACTCCCTGTATTTGGTCGCAGTTGTAAATGAGAACTTGTTCTCAACTGGCCTACCTGGTTAAATAAAGGTGAAAAAAATAAAACAACAGGACCCAGCCCAGTTATACGTTTCTAAGACATACATTGATGTGGATATATCTTGCAGTCTCTTAACCCCTTTGCATTCATTCAGTGGATCAGTCGGCTGCATCTCTACCATATAGGCAGGACTTGTTAGGTACGGCCAGAGACTGAATGGAAGTGGACAGTATCAGGGCTGTAAAGAAAGGAAGAGGAGGAGTGATAGAAAAACATGGACATGGAAGCAGAACAGAATGCTGTTTCCACACACACACACACACACACACACAGAGAGAGAGGGCATGAGAGGGATCCATAGAGACTGAGAGAGATTAGAGAGAGTGTTGGGGAGAGTAAGCATGAAGGAAGCGCAGACAGACAGACGGAGAAACATATAGACAGACGGATAAACATATAGACAGATGGAGAAACATATAGACAGACGGACAGACAGGCAGACGGAGAGACATACAGACAGACGGACAGACAGGCAGACGGAGAGACATACAGACAGACGGACAGACAGAGAGACTTACAGACAGACAGACTGGGACCTCTCCATCTACTCTTTTAGTTTATAAAAGTTTTCCAGAGGCCCCAGGTGTTTGGCTGTAACTCTTTACGACCTAATTTCACCAGGCTAAGTACTGGTACTGTAAACCCTAAACTCTTTCGCATCTACAGGGTAATGTTAATGAGGCACCAAACAAAGGAAAATGCTCTGAAACGGGAGGGACTACCTGAACTTGGTCTAATAAGAAATGCTATTTTTCCTTTTCTGTTTCAAAACGTTTTGCTACGATGTGTCCTACTGAACATGACCCAGTGGACTCATCACCATTACTTAATGGGCAACATCATAACGTACAAAAGGCGCTTTGTGGTTTTAATACTAGGAGGATAGTGTGTTAGCTCTGTTTACTGTTATGAATGAGAGTTTATGAGTATTTCAATTGCTCAGTTTATGTCTGTGTTTTGTGTTGCATAGCGAACCACTCCTGTTTAACACAGAGAACACTTAAAGGTCCAATGCAGCCATTTTTATCTCAACATCAAATCATTTCTGGGTAACAATTCAGTACCTTACTGTGATTGTTTTCAATTAAAATGGTAAAAAACACGCAAAAATCGCTTCTTAGCACAGAGCAATTTCTCAAGCAAGAATTTTGTAGAACTGTCGGGGAGTGGTCTGAGTGGGGAGTGGGAAACTGAAAACTAGCTGTTATTGGCAGAGAGGTTTGGAACTCTTTTTCTTATTATTAACTAATTTACTGCCTGGTGATGTCACTAGGCAGGCCAAAACTCCATCCCACCAAAACAGGCTGAAATTTCATGCTGTATTTTCAAACAGCTCTTACACTAAAAGGGCATTATCATCATGTTCACAACCTCATAGTGTGGAAATATATATAAAACACAGGAAAATCACGCTTTTGACTGCACTGGGCCTTTACTTGTTGACTGCCATGTTGATGAAAATAGATTTCTACACTTTCATTTCTACAAATCTGCCAACATTGACCTGTTGAACATTTTTACTGTAATCAATTCAATCTGAAAAGACTTTATTGCCATGGAACGTGTTACCACACTGCCAAAGCAAACATTTAGAAACATATTAAAACACATACAAATGATAACACACGCACTCTACACACACGTACACATGGATTATGTATTGTAGATATGTGGTAGTAGAGTAGTGGCCTGAGGGCACACATTTAATGTGTTGTGAAAAGTGTTATGAAATGCAATGTCATATAACTGCCTTAATGTTGCTGGACCCCAGGAAGAGTAGCTGCTGCCTTGGCAGGAACTAATTGGGATCCTTAATAAATACAAATACAAATAATCTCTCTCTATCCCTCTCACTATTTCTGTCTCTCTCACTTTCCCTCTCCTTCTTTCTCTATCTCCCACCTCCCTCTCCCCCCTCTCCCCCCTCTCCACCTCTCTCTCTCTCTCTCTCTCTCCCCAGGTGGGTGACAGGGGAGTGGGGCCAGTGCTCGGTGACGTGTGGGAAGGGTCTACAGCTGCGTGAGGTGGGCTGTGTGTACCAGCTGCAGAACGGATCCCTCATCCACACACGGGACCTGTACTGCCAGGGGGGCAAACCCCCCGCCCTGCAGGGCTGCGATGGACGCCACTGCCTCACTGTCTGGGAGGCCTCTGAGTGGTCCAAGGTCTGTTGTGGTGGTGGGGGGGGTTTGTATATGCGACTATTCGTGGATACGTGGTTGTGTGTTTCCGCACGTCTGTGTGTGTCCACGTGTCCATGCGAATGCCTGTGTGAGTGTATCTGTGTGTATGAGACACAGAGAGAGAGAAAAAAGTAAACCACTTACTTTCCTCAAAGCTTGAATGCAGGATCACTTAGAGCAGTGCAGCAGTAGTACTGCACAAATATGGAGATCTGTCACCTTCTCTCTCTCGCTTCTCTCTCCCTTCACTCTCTTCCCTCGCTCTACTGAAGAGGAGGTGAAGTGGGTTGGAGAGGGGAGCTAATGAACCACCACAGGAGGCTTCTATAATGAGTAACACTCTGCTCTCTCTCTCTCTCTCTCTCTCTCTCTCTCTCTCTCTCCTACTCTCTCTCTCCGTCTCCCTCTCTCTTCTTTCTGTTCTTTCGTCATTTTCCGTCCCATACTCATGTCACCCAGTGGCCTGGAAGGGGGTCAAGCAAATCAATGGAATATAGAACTTCTATCCCCGGCCACAGACCCGACGAAAACGAAGATGAACGATACGCCGACTGCTCCTCTACTCTGCACCTAACTTCCTCCCCCTTCACCGTCCATCCCTCTCCTCCCCTCTCTCCCCTCCCCTCACCTTTCTCCCTCCCTCCTCCTCCCCCTCTCCGTCCTCCCTCCCTCCTCTCCCCAGTGTTCTTCAGACTGTGGCAGTGGGATCCGTAGGAGGATAGTGAGGTGCACCAACCCCCAGGGGAGATGTGACCCCCTCTCTCAGCCTGCTGACCAGGAGCCCTGTGAGGACCACTCCAAATGTTATGAGTGGAAGACTGGGGACTGGTCCAAGGTATGGGCCATACTCTCTCTCTCTCTCTCTCTCACACACACACACACACACACACACACACACACACACACACACACACACACACACAGTCTATCTCTCTCTGTCTATCTCTCTCTCTCTCTCTTTAATCAAATATCTATTTACAGAGATCTCCCATGTGGAGAGGACTCTCACCCCAGATGCCCCCTTCCAATTGATTAATCCCTCCCTGTGACACAGTGGTGTAGGTGATGCCAACTTGGTGCCAGTCCTGATGTGGGCATCTTGACAGATAGCCCGACTGCACCTGCATCGCTGTCTGCCTGCATTCTATATGGCACCCTACTCCATTTATAGTGCACACACACACACACACACACACACACAAGCACACACACACACACACACACTCTCTCTCTCTGCTGGAGGAATGGACTAAGGCACCTTGGCCTCTGTTGCCTCATCTCTCCTTCACTCTGCCCTCACACCTTCCCAGCCACCACTCTCTCCTCCCATCTGTCTAACTAGGGCAGGGCAGTAGAAACAGGCTCATGTCCATTTCAATTCCTGTGGGTGAGAAAGGACATGGGGAGTGTAGTTTAATTCCTGAAATGTAATTGACGTCCTTGTCTGCTGTGAGGGGAGAGGTGTCTTCAGTTACACCCGTACTCGTACTACACACAGACACATGTGGATATGAAGGAACACACAAACATACGCACGCACCGCACCCACACACACACTCTCTGTCTTCCCTCTACTCACTGCACCACACTTTTAGGGCAGCAGAGACGCACACACACACACACAGACACACACACACACAGACACACACACACACACACACACACACACACACAGACACACACACACACACAGACACACACACACACACACACACACACACACACAAGGTAAAGTCCTCAGACCGGGATGGTACACACAAGCAAACCTCCTCATTAACACTTTGAACTACAGTAGGCGCCTGTCGGCTACTCTGAGACTGCATCCCAAATGGCACTACTTTTGACCAGGGTGCCATTTGGGACGCATCCTCCGAGCTGAACTATACTCTTGTCTGCTCGGCTCTGGGCTAAAAGAAAACCCTCCATTTACAAAACATGTTCAGTAATCATTCTGTTTGTTTGCTTGTCTCTGTAGAGATCATTTCAAAACTGAAGAGTTCAGGATGAATAAAAGCTCTGAGTAATGCAAAGTGTTTCCTCTCACGGCTGTGTCCCAAATGGCACCCTATTCTCTTTATAGTGCACTACTTTTGACTAGAGTCCTATGGGCCCTGATCTTAAGTTGTGCACTATGTAGGGAATAGGGTGACATTTGGGACGCATCCTGAGTGATTGTAACCTCAACTAACTCATTCAGCTGCTCTGTTCTGTTCTGTAATGTACTGCCAGGAATTAAAAGACCAGTATCTTAGTTAATACATTGACAAATTGTCCAGATATCCTCCCCAAAGGGGAACTAAATTACTACTATATGGACAGTTCCAGAAGGAATAACATCAAAGACTGCAAACTCTTTAGGTGGAACAGGGATATTGTAAAGAGATTTAAAACATCTTCAGAATTGAGTAAAATCCCTTCTGCATTAAAAAAGTGACTCATTTACATTTACGTCATTTAGCAGACGCTCTTATCCAGAGCGACTTACAGTTAGTGCATACATTATTCTTTTTTATTTTTCATACTGGCCCCCCGTGGGAATCGAACCCACAACCCTGGCGTTGCAAACGCCATGCTCTACCAACTGAGCTACCTCCCTGCCGGCCATTCCCTCCCATACCCTGGACGACGCTGGGCCAATTGTGCGCCGCCCCATTGGTCTCCCGGTTGCGGCCGGCTACAGCAGAGCCTGGATTCGAACCAGGATCTCTAGTGGCACAGCTAGCACTGCGATGCAGTGCCTTAGACCACTGCGCCACTCGGGAGACACACCAGTAGGATATGATTATCAATCCACTTCTAAAAAACAAAGACTTGTTTCTATACAAAATATCCGTATTGTTCCAAATTAAATACCTGTGTGGAGAAAAATTATGTTAATATATAATGACCACGCTAAGAACACTTGAAAAGCAGATAATTTTGTAGGAATCGTATCAATGTTATAGTTAGAAAGCAAACTAAAATTGAAGCCACCAAAACAGGAGAAGATATAATGACGGATGAAATTCCAAATTGAAGTTGGATTCGTTAAGAAATATTCAGCCCAATTTACCTTAAAGTATTATTCAAAGTAGTCAAATCAAACAAAATGTACCATATTCATATGCGTCCATAACGACAGATTTCCTAATATAATGTGTATAATTGTTCCAGATAAAGTTGAAAAGCATTTGGTCAACTGCTTTACCTATTGTGTTGTCAAGATGTAGGGACTGAGCTGTGGAAGTACATCTGCAGATACCCTCAGCTTTAGAAAGCAATACTCAACCTTTCAAGGAGGAATCCCTCTGCAACAATTGGTTCAACTTCTTTTTAAAATTTAAAAAATATATATAATGGGATTGAAGTTTAATGAGCATCTTTCCTGTTGATTGTTAGATATGGTAATCCCAATGTATGTTACTCTTTCCTTGACTGGAACATTGCAGATAGAGGGAATCACACAGTCTTTAACAGCAAACAATTCACACTTATTAAGGTTTAAGTGAAGACCAGATGGTTTGGGGAAAAATATGGTAACACTTTGTTTGGATGGTCCAGCTGTAGATGCTCTACAGACTATCAACAGTCTTATCAGTAACATTTCAACTAACTATCTACTAACCCTGGCTCTAACCCTACCCCTAACCGTAAACCTTATCCTAACCCTAAACTAAACCGTTACCCTAGCCCTTACCCTAACCCTTATTCTAAACCTTACCCTAACTGTAACCTTAGAAAGCAGTAGCTTATCATAAGATAGTCAGTTGCTATGCAACAGATAGTTTGTTGGTAGTATGACCATCTGTAGAGCATCTACAGATGGACTATGCAAATAAAGTGTGACCAAAAATATTTATCACATCGACTGCTCTAGGAATCTGGTCAGCATCTCTCAGAAAGAGGGTGGCGTCATCTGCACGCTGGCTTATAATAATAGCTCTGTCAGCAATGGAGATCCCTTGTATATCGCTGGATTTAATACAACTTGTAAGAAGTTGTGTTGCAAGATCAGAATAGTCAATAAGGTCTAACACCAGTTGGATATTATTAGATATACAGTATGTCTATTCCTCATGAACCTGACTGGGTCTCCTCTATAATTTAGTCCAATACTGCTTTCATTCTTTTTGCAAATATAGAGGCTAATATTTTGTAGTTGTTGTTGAGCAGACCAATTGGATGCCAATTATCGAGGAGAAGCAAGTCTTTCTTGGGTTTAGGGATGAATGTAATCAGACCGTGAGTCAAACTGGGAGGGAGAGCATTATTGTGCTATGTATTTTCCTAAAGCGGAGTGAATAGTGATTTTAGGGATGGTGACAGTACTGTATCAAGGCTAGTTGTATGTGAAAAATGGCTTAATGGTTAGAGTGTACGTCATTATCACAAACAGTTGTTAAAGCACTGTATTCAGGTAGTTCATTATAATAAAGACTACTCCAACTCAAAGCACAGTGAAGTGATTTGCATTGTATGGATGTAACCTGCCCATTCCAACTTAGTTAACACTAGTGTTATCTGACAGTCTTTCCCAAATCTCTCCTCGATGAACCCCAGTTCCACTTATTCCAGCACTAGCTGATTCAACTAATCAAGGGCCTGATGATTAGTTGCCCAGTCAAATCTAGTGTGTTAGTTTGCTTGTAAAATCAAATAAGTGAAAAGGCTGGGTTGTACTCGAGGAGTGGTATTGGAAACAGGTTTACCGAACTGAAGATCTACAGCGCGTCTCCATTTCACAGTCTTAAAAAACAGAGACGGTCTGTTTTTGACATCATTTGGCCTCGCTACCGAGTGTCATGTTCAGCTGCCTGATACAGGTTCAGATCTTATTTCACCATTCTAACAGTTAAGGTTGGGATCGGGGAGAACGCAATCTGATCCTAGATCTGCAATTCTATAGGAGGTTTTACAGGCCCACTTCCAACCCGGGGCGCCAGGTCTAAGTCTCGGGGTCACTACAGCAGGTCAGGGGGAGGGTCATTAAATCTCTGTCCCTGTGTGGAACTGGAGACAGGGAGTGTATGTTTCCCCCCAGGATGCTGAGAAAGGTGCGTCCGCCCCTCTCCTCTGCCCTTATTTAACCACAGATCTAGGATCAGATTGCATTATTTCCAATCCTATCCATAACTTTTTGAATGTATCAGTGGCTAGGGGCAACTTCTACCTATGACTCCACATGAGGGAATAGGATTACATTTCTCCCTGAAACTGATCTAAGGTCCGTTTTGAGTTTCTGTCCCTGATGCTTAAATTAAGGACTTAGGTGCAGGGTAAGCTGATCCTAGATCTGTGCAATGTCTACCTGGAGCTCTGTGAGGGGGCTGCGTTAGCACATCTGCTTCAGTCATCATCAGACAAGTTGGAGAACATCTGAAGGTTGTGTGTGTGTGTGTGTGTGTGTGTGTGTGTGTGTGTGTGTGTGTGTGTGTGTGTGTGTGTGTGTGTGTGTGTGTCTGTGTCTGTGTCTGTGTCTGTCTGTCTGTCTGTCTGTCTGTCTGTCTGTCTGTGCAGATGGTGTAGACCCCACAGCCCTGTTCTCATTAACAGTAATCTCCACTAATCCTTCATCAGAACATTCTAGAGAGGGTTTGTTAATCCAAACTGGGCTATTACGGAGCTGCATTTTATTCCAAGAAGTTGCACTCTCCCCTTGTACACACACACACACACACACACACACACACACACACACACACACACACACACACACACACACACACACCACACACACACACACACACACACACACCCACACACACACACACACACACACACACACACACACACACACACACACACACACACACACACACACACACACACACACACACACACACACACACACACACACACACACACACACACACACACACACACTCACACACTCACTCACACACACTGTTGGTAATAAGTGCCACTTCATTCAGGAGCACTACAGCAAGGCAGTTAACCCCCAACAACAGCTTCTCCCTGGGCGCCGATGACGTGGGTGTTGATTAAGGCAGCCCCCAGCACCTCTCTGAAGACACATTTCGGTTGAAGGCATTCATTTGTACAACTGACTAGGTATCCCCCTTTCCCTTTCCGCTAAAGCAAAGCTATTCTCTAAGCTAAGAAAATACATGGACACGCCACTTCTAAAATGATATTGCATCAGAGAGCACCTGATGTAGAGCAATTTACCACAGACTGAGATTTCAAATGTAATCTCTTTCCAGTTATATGAGAATCAGATACATACTGTATAGACGCATTTAGACCCATAATATCACAATATCACAATACAGTACAGCTTGAAACACGCAAATGGATGCAAATTGCAGTGTCTTGTCTAGCCGGGAAAATGTTATTGCTGTCATATCATGATCCTACGTAGCTCAGTTGATAGAGCATGGCACTTGCAACATCAGGATAGTTGGTTTGATTCCCGTGATCAGCCGTACGTTAAGAAACAATTGTGATGCACACATGACTGTAACTTGCTTTGGATAAAGTTGTCTGCTAAATGGCATAAAATAAAATATCTGGAGAAGTTTAGTACTTTTGAGTATTTTCCTACCTACTCATTGTCTCGATCCTTCTGAAGGATCCATTCTAGAGCCAACCTCTTTGTTAGGGCCACAGGCTTGTTATAGGCTGGTCCAAACACAACCTCTACCTCCCACTGCTCTGGGGTTGGCTGATTGGTTCAACCTCTACCTCCCACTGCTCCGGGGTTGGCTGATTGGTTCAACCTCTACCTCCCACTGCTCTGGGGTTGGCTGATTGGTTCAACCTCTACCTCCCACTGCTCCGGGGTTGACTGATTGGTTCAACCTCTACCTCCCACTGCTCTGGGGTTGGCTGATTGGTTCAACCTCTACCTCCCACTGCTCTGGGGTTGGCTGATTGGTTCAACCTCTACCTCCCACTGCTCCGAGTTTGACTGATTGGTTCAACCTCTACCTCCCACTGCTCCGGGGTTGGCTGATTGGTTCAATCTCTACCTCCCACTGCTCCGGGGTTGGCTGATTGGTTTAACATGGTGATGGCTCCCTCTATCCATAGCTTGAGGCTCCACCATATTTCGTACACCCAGCCGTTTCCTTTAGATCTGCAAACACAGAAGAGGTATATAAGTTAGAGGTTGCTTCTGGACCAGAGTCCAACTCCTTGTGTGTTAGGCAAGTCAGTCATTAGTAATTCCCTAGGACTTAATCTTTTAAAGACTTAGTGTGCGTCCCAAATGGCGCCCTATTCCCTAACTCTGTCCCAGAGCTGGGGATGGAGCTGGGGAAGATAGGGCTGGGAGAGAGCTGGGGATGGGGCTGGGAGAGAGCTGGGGATGGGGCTGGGGAAGAAAGGGCTGGGAGAGAGCTGGGGATGGGGCTGGGGGAGAGAGCTGAGAATGGTGGAGAGAGCTGGAGGTGGGTTTCACTTTACACCTTGCCCCCCACTTTCTGTCTGAAAAGTTCTATGTCACATTCCTGATGAAAGGACGTTCAGGTGCCAGCTTCTCGGTCAGTTTTTCATTTTGGAAATGTAATAACAGGAAATCACTGTCGGCTGCCATTTAGTGCTGGGCTTATATCTTTGTGTGTTGTTCTGACCCTGTGCTAATTGTGTTACTCCCACCCCTCTAACCATCCATAATGTATTACCTAATTTTCTCTCCTAATTATGTTAAAGGGGAAATCTGGGATTGGTTCATCCATTTCTGGAATTTTAAACTAATGACTCAGATAAGTTGTGGGGTGACCATTGTTGTTGTTCTTTGAATCCCAGGTTGCCCCTTTAAAGTCCTCAAATTACTCCTCTGTCCCACTCCCCCAACGCTGGACAATATACTGACCGGCTCTCCTCATCTCCTCTCCTCCCACCACTATCAGACCATAAGTCTATTAGCATGTATTAGAATATCATTCAGATAAGCTGCTGATTCAATTGTGGTGTTGTTGTGAGTTATGAGGAGGTCATGCCTCTACAGGGAGGTGGCTCTGATATTAGAGCTAGGCTGCATCCCAAATGGCACCCTATTCCCTATATAGTGAACTACTTTTGACCAAAGCCTATAGGGGATAGGGTGCCGTTTGGGACACAGGTGGAAGTCTTGCTGTGATTGTGTCCCCATCAGCTTGTCTCATAATGAAATAAATGTTTCAGATAATGTTCTCTCTGTCTCTTTGTTTGTGTCTTGGTTTGTTTGTTTGTGTTTGGCAGTATGTGTGTGCTTTCACTGTGTGTGTGTGTGTTTGTGTGTGTCTCTCCAGGGCCTTAGCTCATAGACTTATCTCATTGTGCGGAACACTCTTGATCATGTTCTTCAGTGATATTAAAAGCTCAGTGAAAAAACCCTCTGAGAATCATTCCAATCCAATACCTATCGAGATGGGGGATCATGATAATCGGATCGTTTTAGCTCTGTGTCGGCTGGTTCATGTCCTCACAGCAGTAAGGAGAGAGCAGTGTCAAGTCAACAAGTCCTTTGGTAGAACACAGAGCAGTTTACAATAGCTATTGAAATGGCTTCCACTAATTGCCTCTGTGAAGTGAATAGTAAATCTGCCCGCTTGAATCGAGGGCCTGGGAACCGTTGTTGTTCAGTGTTAATCATTGGACGAGGCTATAGCTGTTGGCTGCCAAGGCACAGGCCTGTGTACAATGGGAATCCGTTGTCTGTCGCCTCTGGTGTTTCCGAACTTAGAATACCAAAGTCCTCTTTCTTTGGCCCCATTCCATCTTGGTTTCTCCTAGCCCCTTACCTCCAGCCCCTTACCTCCAGCCCCTTACCTCCAGCACCTCACATCCAGCCCCTTATCTCCAGCCCCTTCTCCAAACCCCTTGCCTCTAGCCCCTTCTCCAAGCCCCTTACCTCTAGCCCGTACTCCAAGCCCCTTACCTGTTCGTTCTTCACAGATCTGATTGGTTTGGATAGATCAAATCAAATCAAAGCAGGTCTAAGCTATATAAAAAGCCAAAGTGGTGGTCACAGCTATAATGTTACTTAGACCTATCTAGTCCTTTCAGATCTGTGATCACTGAAGAGGTAGGAGCTAGGGGAAGGGCCTGAGGACAGAAATGGATCTTAGCCTCGGAGCATATATTACTACTGAGACAAAGTACTCTGGCAGGGATATTTGGGACTCCTAAATCAGTCTATTCAAACATAGAACACAGCCTCCATCTGTAATTAGTCCTGTTAGGGATTTATCTCAACACTACTATATACCACACTACACCCTTATTTGTTATTTAGGTCCAGCCACTTCTCACATTCGGTCATGAAGTGGGCTCTGGTCACAAGTAGTGCACTATATAGGGAGTATGGTGCCATTTGGGGTGCAGCCTAGGTCTATGGAAGATTACATTTACTTAAAATGTGAGGGGTAAAAGTATTAGGCAGTGATTATGTCCTAAAAAGACTAGGACATAGACATTGAAGATTGTTACAATTGGCTCTCAATGCCAACATACTTCCTCTCGAGTTTGGAAGAGAAAGTAACTCAAGTGATTGGGTCTTTCCAGTGCTCGTCATCCTGTGGGAAGGGCCTGCAGTCCAGAGTGGTCCAATGTATGCACAGAGTAACGGGTCGCCATGGTAATGACTGCCCCGTGGTGTTCAGACCACCCACCTACCGGCCCTGCCACCAGGAGGCCTGCAATGATAAAGTCAACGTCAACACCATCACCTCCCCCAGATTAGGTAACCTAGTGTGTGTGTGTGTGTGTGTGTGTGTGTGTGTGTGTGTGTGTGTGTGTGTGTGTGTGTGTGTGTGTGTGTGAGAGAGAGAGAGAGAGAGAGAGAGAGAGAGTGTGTATACATAAGTGGGTGCACACACACTTAGTATATGTGTGTACTGTGTTTCTCTGTCTGTTGACGTGGCCCCTGTGCCCTTGTTCCTATGTGCCCCTGTTCCTCTCCAGCTGCTCTGACCTACAAGTGCACAGGAGACCAGTGGACTGTATACTGCCGTGTGATCCGAGAGAAGAATCTGTGCCAGGACATGAGATGGTACCAGCGCTGCTGCGACACCTGCAGAGACTTCTACGCCAACAAAACACCCCGCAAGAGTTAATGATCAAAGCACTCGCACACATACACAGACAGACAGACAGACACACACTTCACTTAGTGCTATGATTTTAGATGCCTCTGTAACACTTTACTTAAAGCTTGCGGGTATAATGCTTTATAAGTGGTTATAAGCATGGATGAGCCTTTATAATGTGTTATAATAAGGCTTATAATATGATATGTCTCTCTGTGTATCAGCATGTTAACCGACTCAAAATGGCTGTTATTTATCCTGGATCAGGAGATGACACAAATATATTCTAAGGGTCTCATGGCAGGTCTTTATGCCGGCAGGCTTTAAGTAAAGTCTTACTGATGTTTTTACAGAATTATTCATATTCTTATTATTAATTATAGGACAATCAATTTTGGGAAAGAAAAGTAGAAATGAGTGCAGAGACCATTTCAAGTGGGATCATAAGCTTGCAGTGTCATGAAGACTTGAAAACCTTTTACTTGTTTTATTGCTGTAAACCAAAGCGAGGGACTTCGAAGTCTGGAGGGTCTCTCGGTAGGTAGCCTGTCACGTCAACGTTTGTTGTACAGTATGATTTAACATTAGCGTTAACATATGCGATAACACTTTATGTGGATAGTCCATTGTTGTCAGATTGTCTATAGATGCTCAGTGAACTATCAAAACATGTCCGATTTTCAAATGCACACGCCGAATCTAAGAATACAGCTAGGGTGGCTGAATATGAGTAATTGTATGTTACTTACATAGATAGAATGTACGTACATCACAGGAGGCTGGTGATGGGGAGGGCTGCTCATAGTAATGGCTGGAATGGAGTGAATGGAATGGTATCAAACGTGTGATGTGTTTGAAACCATTCCATTTATTCCGTTCCATCCATTACTATGAGCCCGTCCTCCCCAATTAAGGTGCCACCAGCCGCCTGTGTACATACAGTACTTACACACATACATTGAAAGTACTGTAAGTACTTTGTTATTGCATGTTAACAGAGGTGCAGTTGACATGTAATAAATCCAAATGGTAGTTTGTACGTAGTCTGAGCATGTACATCTGTAGGGGACTATCCAGATAAAGTGGGACCACATATTCTCTTGTGTTTAGTTCAGCTGGCCCTGTATTCACCAAGCCACTGGCTGGACACTCACTAGACTGGGCCAAGAGAGCTGGGCCGTGTTCATTAGGCACCAGATGGACTGAAACAGGTAGGGACTCCCTGGACTTGTTCAATAAGAAATGCTCATTTTCTTTTTAACGTTTAAAAAAGTTTTCCGTTGTGTGCTTTAATGAACACGACCCTGGTTTCCTCTCTTAGGGACAAACCGTAACTTGATGAATTGCGATAATGTGAATTTCGCATTGACATCAACGCATAAGCTACGCAGAAGTCTGGGTTACACGTTTGGATCTCAAGTTAGGATTCGTCCCTTAGTTCCACGATAAACTATGTGTACTTGCGTTTTGTTGTTGTTTTTTGTTGATGTCATTGTCATTTTTTGGCGGTTGTTGTTATTTAAAACTAGCCAGGAGCCGTTTTAAGGTACTGTAGTTCTACATTGAAATGATCAAGCTAACAATAGGAGACCCACTATTCCCTAGGCTCACCTGAAGGGCTTGGACAGCCCATGTAGCATCCCATCTCTCTCCTGTGAGGAACCAATGGTAGAGAGTGCAGTGCCGGGGGTGTAACTTAAGAGAAGATGAGATGTATCTTAAGTTACTGTCATCCTACAGTTAACCACATACAGTGTATTCAGTATATGTGAGTCGAATGCACAACTTGGTGTTGGTAACGCCTTGCTCCAACTATGCTCCATCAACCAACTGAGCTATCCATCTGAACATTGATCATTTACACCTTACGGTGTCCATGTTAGGACAGCCGCAATATCAGCAGAACTTAAATCTCAGCAGGTTGAAGCAGGTTGCAGCTGTATTGTTAGGTTAATTGTAAAACAAAAATCACTGTGTCACATGTATGTCTTTGGCCCTCCCTTGGTGCTTGAGGTGTGCATCATGATGTACGAAAACATGACGGAAACTAGACTCTGGTTTCAAACTTTACACTAACTCCAAACCTGGTGCTTGTTAACATTTCCATACATCATGAAATAGAAATTGGTTTTAACTATTAAACAGCAATTCAAACACAATGTGAGGCCTACACCGATTTCAACAGCTTGCCCTCGTACATGAGCGTGGCAAACGTAGACGTCACAAACATCAAAATGTAAACATTAATGGAGGCAGCTTTATGTTTGCTACAAAATTGTGGTGCAGTAGATAACTGACTGTAAATAATGTCATTGCTTCGCCCAATAGTTACCTAGCTAGCTAAAGTTATTTACAGTTAGTTAGCACCGGCATTCTTTCTCCAAAAATAACGAAGTGTCTTCAGTTGTGTTCACGTTTTACAGATTATGATTTAAAGGGGTAATCTGCAGTTTCTACATACATTTTTTTAACTTATAAATGAATGATATGTACCATTTGATTATTGAATAATATAACTTATAAATGCCTCATGAGCTTAGTTCAACTGTCTTACCCCATATAAACTCAAAATGCTTGTTTTACTCCAATGTTTGTAAACAAATTCAATGTAAACCAACACTATAAAGCTTCACAACATGATTAAAACTATCCGTTTTAGATCATGGATGGTCAGTCCTTGCATCCATAGCTCGGTCTATGAATTTGAGAGTGGTTACATTTCTCCAGCCTTTTTTGATTGTTTTAACTGCTGATTGCCGCTTTAATCCACTTTCCAAGCGTATTATGTAACATTCAGTTATGTAGTGTATATCTATGGCCCTGGCCTAGTTCTCTTGGGTCTTGGAGTTGGCTGAAGCAGAAACAGATCTAGAGTTACCAGGCTATGTAGTGTATATCTATATTTCTGGCCTGTTACTCTGTGGTCTATGGAGACCACCATGACTAATCAGTTATCCCCCAGGCAGAGACCCTGGCCCCCAGGCAGACCCCAGGCAGAGACCCTGGCCCCCAGGCAGAGACCCTGTCCCCCAGGCAGAGACCCTGGCCCCCAGGCCTGGCCCCAGTATTGGAATAAAAGCTGATATGGGTCCTGGTTAGAACAGAGAACTCCTGAGTCCCATGTTCCCAACCCTCCAGAGCAGGGAACCATTGATCAATCAAACATTCTAACGTGGTACTGTTTACCTACGTGTTCAGAACATGTAGGACGGACGACCACCCTGGCTGTTCCGTGTGTGTGTGTCATACCCACACACACAGTGCAGTAATCGATGCATGTCTCTGTGGTACGAGCCGTCAGTGGTGAGGTCTTCATTTAAAAGGTCACACTGTTCACACATTGAAGACAGCCTTGCAAAGAAAACAACACAGTTAAAGACATGCTCCGGTACTTTGGCGAAAATAAAGTATTTTTTAAACCTCACGCTTTGGGCTGGATGTGTCAATGTGTAGATCATACATGCATAATCTATGAACAGAATTACTGTCTTGCCTCAATTAGCCAGAAATTCGTAGTTTGAAAGTGACTGTTTTCTTGAAGCTGTGCCAAGCCATTTTCACAACATTTCCCCCCTCGTGGGCCAGCCTCCTAGCAATTTGAGTTCTAGACAATAAGCTTCAGCCCCTTGCATTTGAGTGACAGCTAGCAAGAGGCCTGCCTAGTTATTCAATTAGGTTGAATGGCGGGCCCAACGGCTCAGTGGACATAGCAGTGAAAGAGCGCGAGAGAGAGAGAGAGAGAGAGAGAGAGAGAGAGAGAGAGAGCAATGACGTGGTGCACATATCTGCACATACTGTATGTGACATGGTACGCAATTACTACTTTGGGCTACTTTTGGCTCATGAGTGTTACTTTCAGAACTACTGGCTAAAAGTGTACAAAAGTACCGGAGATTCTCTTTAAACAGCTGAGACCGGCCCATAGAGTTAGACAGATGACACATATTTGCATTGTTGCCATAATGGCTTCTGTGACTGAAAAAGTCCCACCAAGTGGACTACTTAAAAAAGGTGCAACTCCTCAATGGTGCTGTCCATGCTAAAATAGGCTTTGTGGCATGTGGGCCCTCTATAAAACTCTATGTCCCGGCCTGCTACTTTATGATACTGGTTACGGATAGAGGAGCCGATGCATCTTGTTTTGAGACCATTCTAACTTATGCCTAGACCCTGTGGTTGTGGCTATGGAGACCCTGTGGTTGTGGCTATGGAGACCCTGTGGTTGTGGCTATGGAGACCTTGTGGTTGTGGCTATGGAGACCCTGTGGTTGTGGCTATGGAGACCCTGTGGTTGTGGCTATGGAGACCCTGTGGTTGTGGCTATGGAGACCCTGTGGTTGTGGCTATGGAGACCCTGTGGTTGTGGCTATGGAGACCCTGTGGTTGTGGCTATGGAGACCCTGTGGTTGTGGCTATGGAGACCCTGTGGTTGTGGCTAGAGACCTTGTTGGCTATGGAGACCCTGTGGTTGTGGCTATGGAGACCCTGTGGTTGTGGCTATGGAGACCTGGTGGTTGTGGCTATGGAGACCTTGTGGTTGTTGCTATGGAGACCCTGTGGTTGTTGCTAGGGAGACTGTGAATATACCATACAGGTGCAGTGGGGATAACACTTGTTAAAAAGGAGGCTTGACCTCAACTGTGGCATCACATTTCAAAGTTCTGACCCCTTTCGGTGTGTGTGTGTTGAAGAGAGGCCTCAGTCCTGGCTCTACAGACAGCCTATGGGGTTTGAGTGGTGCTAATTTACGACATAATTCACTACTGTTGAATCCAGCTTTGTTTCACGTTCTCTGTATTGTATGTTTCTGCTGTTGTTGTTGCTGTTTTTTTTGTTTTTTTTTTGGGGGGGGGGGTTATTTAATACCGAAAAGTAGCTGCTTTTTTATGCGTAATTGTTACAACCTGCTTCAACTGCTATGTTACTGATATAGTGCAAATATGCGTAAATATTCCTGTACTGTACGTTATTGTAGTTGCACATATGTTTGGTACATAAATTGCCACTACAAATATTTTATGGTGCTGATTAAAATAAGTTTTGAACTGTTAATACTTCAATAAATGTGTTGTTTTACAGGGATTTAACCATTTTAGTTATTTTTGTTACTGTGCCTTATAGTCAGCCTATACTTGTACTGTTATACAGTGATACTCCAAGATTCACAGACAAATACAACCTTAACAGAAATCTGAGTACAAATCTGAATGATTGGAAATATATATATTTTTCAAGTCTACTGTAAGTTGATTCGTTTTATTTTTTACATAATAAAATGTGATTTTACATGGAGACTAATATGATGTTATGTTTCTGAAAATTATTTTCTTATCCTCTTTTCTTGTGTTGTTAAAACATCTGACTTTAGAAACAGTTAAAATGGGTTCATGCAGGACCAACATCGGACAGAAAAAGCTTCTGCAGAATTCTAGGCATGAAAGCTTCCGCAGAATTCAATGAGAGAGCGTTGGCTGAAGTCTTGAATAAGAAAGGCAGCTTTAGCAGAATTCTATGAGAGAACTTTGGCTGAAGTCTTAAATGAGAAAGCTTCAGCAGAATTGTAGAACGAGAAAGCGTCAATCGAATTCTAGACATAAAATCTTCAGCAGAATCTATGAGAGAACATTGGAAGAATTCTTAAATGAGAAAGCTTCAACAGAATTCTAGATATGAAAGCTTCAGCAGAATTTGACTAGAATTATACGAGACAATGTTGGCAGAATTCCATAATGAGAAAGCTTCAACAGAATTGTAGACTTAAAAAGTTCAGCAAAATTCTGAGAGAACATTGGCAAAAAAATTTAACAAGAGAGCTTCAGCAGAA